TTCAGCTTTGGGAAAAAGTTCTGTGTAGCTTCGCGAGAAACTTCTATGAGGAAAAATAAATGCGGACTTGAAACGATTACTAAGTAAGTCTTAGTAGCCATCTTAAAAGACCATGAACACCTCGAACTACATGTTTGAGTGAACTTCTTCTGTTTCCTAAGTGGAACCCTAGCCAACGAGTCTTCCTACCACTTGCTACACATAATTATCAGCTACAAAGATCAAATTAGCAATTAATTTTCTTGCAGACAACCGCAACAAAGAAAAAACCAGCATTGTTTGAGGTGTTAGATCGTTCGAATTGTTCGAATAGTCGAATATTCGACCATACGTAATTATTCGATTATTCGAATAGTCGAATATTCGACTATGTGTAATTATTCGATAATTCGAATAGTCGAATGTTCGACCAACCCCATTTATTCGAATATTCGTTCATTCGAATTTTGAAATGTAGCATTATTCGAATATTCGAATTCGAATAATCTGAAAATTACAGATCGAATAATATTCGTTCGTTCGAATATTTTTCGAAAACCGATTATTCGAAATTCATTCGTTCGGCGAAATTTTTCGGTCGTTCTAACTATAGAATCTTATGAAGATAATTTCTATCTAACGCCTTTTAATATGTTACAGTAGCTCCAAAAGGCGACTTGGTGTAAACCAAGACATGCAGTCTCTTACAGCAACGTCCTCTTTGGCAGAATTTTATCCTCTTCCTAGAGAGAGTGTCTGGCGCGTGACTCCTAGCTCTTGTAGACATGAGGCGTAGTATACGAGTTTCTATGCGATCTTTCATGTCTTCTTGAGAGAGAATACTTGCAAGATCAAAGTTGTTCAATATTTTGAACTTTTTTCGTGGGGCTATGACTTCCAGAACTTTGGAATTTTCGGTCCATCCACAATAACTGCGAAGTTTTACCTCAAAGGCAGTGTCCCGGCAGATTTTGCACCTCCACCTTTTTACATTTTTTAGGCCTTTTCGCCACGTAGAATCCGAATTTGAGCTTTGAACGGGCTGAAAAGGCCGATTTTGGGGCGTTCTCCTAATTCCAGAAAAGCAGCTCGGACGAGATTTTTAATGGAAAGTTGGGATCCTCAGATAAGGTCCTCAGACGAAGACCCTGCCGCCTGTAATTCTTGCCTTGGATAGCATGCATCATAGGGGGGAGCGCTCGTGGGGTCCCGCGCCGAATAGGCGAGGAAGGCCGTCCAAGCGCGCGCCAGTTGGGGTTGCGCGCGCCGGTTCAAGGGCCATTTTCTCGGCCCAGGGGGAACATCACCCAGCCGGACTGCGCCTGGAGGTCGATGGGATGGCCAGGAACCCCACCACACGTGTATCCCCCAGGACCCGAATCTGCCGGGACACTGCCTTCAAGTAGCTACAGACAGCTTTCTTGGGCCACGGGCATATTTCGCCCGATTTTAGTCACTGGCGATCTGGCAATCTGCCACGTTTCTTCAAATCCATCACCTACAAACTACAAATTCACATTATGTACAACTTTCGCAGATGATAAAATGCCCCATCTTCTGTTTATTCGGAATGCGCTTAGGATGAGTTGTAAAGAGTTGGAGTATCGCCATCGTAAGATTGCCAGATTTTTATCGCTAAAACGAATGATCTTGAAGGTATATGCGTTTCAAACCTAAGGTTGCGCTCTAGTCATTTGTGCACTAAAGGTTGCCGAAGTCCTAAGAGCAGATTTCATTTTGACCATCTAAAGTTTGCAAGTCGTTGTAATTGCCATGATAGCAAAAAGTCACCCCACATGAAGATCAAACCTTGTTGATCTCGAAAAACATCATTCTTTGTAGCTGCATATTATTGAAAATCCATATTTTCCGCAAATTCTTTGCAAATTTAGTAATGGCACGAGTGACAGAAATTGCCACACAAGGCATACTTGCTTTACCTTATCTGTTATTACGTCTGATTTCGCGAAACTATAGAAAATATAAGGCTAAGGGTAGCACTAATGTTGAAATTTACACATTGAAGATCTAAATACTTGTTCTGGGCAAGAGTCGTGTTTTCAACCTCAGTTAGAAGAAAGAGTAAGTATGTAATGCTTTATCCAACGCTTGCAGTTTTTCCCAAGTTGCTCAAGATGGTGGTCACTCAAAAACTCAATAACGAAATTTTCAGAGCGACTCAGCATTTTTTGTCATTCATCTAGCATTTGGTTTGAATTCTGATGGTAGCTAGACTTGCCAGTTCAAATCAACCCAGAAAACCCAGATACTTATACTAAACTTCCGTTTGGACATCGTATAAATCTATCCAGAACGTCTGTAGAAATGGTTCTATAAGAAAAGATGTAATTCCAAAAGAGAATGGTCAAAAGCATACCTTCGATAGTCTAGAGACAGGGCGCCAAAAGTGAAGGTTGTTTGAACATCTGACGTCAAAAATGGTGAAGGTTGTTCAAAGAAGATCAGAGAAGAGAATATGACGTAAAACAGACATAAAAAGCAAAAGAAACGGCTGTAAACCGGATAAAAACGCTGCAATTAGATTTGAAATCTTTCATTTGGCGGCTTTACAGAGTGCAAGTTTTCGCTCCAGGACCAGCAATTCGCAACACGGGGTTTTGATTTTTGATGCGTCCTTTAAATTTTTACCCCCGCGCCGTCCCTCTTGTACCCTGCGACGTTGTCCGGATTCTTCCGCTCATCATTCTGAGCAAGTATCGTCCAAGCTGGAGAAAATTCGTTGCGAAACTACTGAAAAAGAATAAGGTAAAGAAAAACGCATTTTTTAGTAATTTTCACAAAAAAAGCGGCATAAGCAAAGAAATAAGCTCGGCGACGTTGTCTACGTTATAGACAGAAACAAGACCTATCGACTACACAAAAAAACTGCGTGAAAAGAGTCAAACTAGGAGAAAAACGAGAGATTTTCAAAAACAAGGTTTTTGCCGGATTTCTTGCTTAAATCATAAAAAGGAGTCCTGCGACGTTGTCAGCGTGAAAATAGAGATCAAGAGCTTCAAAATGATATATAGCTTGCTAAAATTGGGTTCGAAACAGCGAAGAAAAGGGTACCAGAGCCAAATGCCCCGCGCCCCGCGCTCGGGGTAGCGAGGTAGCGCGCAGCGCGCGGAGACGCAGACGAGCAGCGGAGAGAGACCAGAGCCGGCGGGGCATTTGGCTCTGGTCATTGATCTCCGCGGGGTCATAACGAAACCCTATAATATTATATATCGTTGTGATCCTCATGACACGGCCAGGAGCACTGACAACGTCGCGGGTCTTGAATCTCATTCCATAACGAGATAGACCAGCATTTATGTGACGACTCTCTGCGCAAGATTTCAGCGCAGTTTCTCGTTTTTGTTGAACTCCAGCGGCTTTCATGAACCTCCAACGCTCAATCGCAGTCTATAGAAAGGTTAACTGATAAGTTTTATCCTAATTTCTAACTGAATTTTTGAAGAAAAACCCTCTTTTCAGCAAAAAAGGCCATGAAAACGCAATCTTTCGGTTTTTTGAGCTTTTCTTTGGATGTCACTACTATATTTGCCTCATTCACATTCATCCTTACAAGTTAGTCATTAGTTATGTCATAATATCCGGGGCTTCGCCCCGGATGACTTGTACTCCTCTCCAGGTGAAGGTTGTGTCCTCTCATGACACTCAAAGTGAAGGTTACCAGAGTACGTGGCTCTATGTATCGAAGGTATGGTCAAAAGTCAAGTGGTCATCGAACGACGACTACAGATGTCTTCCTTGTCTGTTGCACGACTTCGTATGCGAGGTTATGAACAGTTTTATTGCAAGGAATTCGTATATACGAATTGCAGAGAACATATGAATGCTAGTTCAAGCCACCATTGATCATGAATTCTTTGAAGCAGCCTGCCTGCATGTTTTGGCACACGTCAAGCCGAAGCATCTGCATGTCTATATTTTTGCACAATGTATAAATGATTCCTTCGCAGTATAATGGCTCCTAAGTTTGTTTGCAAGACATCTAGCAGATAAAAAAGTAATTGATTCCTATGCTATCCGTTAATATACTGCTATCCATTGATACTCAATATCCGCTTCGACTTCTAAAAAATCCCATCGTAGGAGAAGTAAACTCGATGAAACCCATACAGTTATCCTAATTTATTGAAATTTTTCTGGTCGTTCAGGCCTTCTGTTGATAATAATAAGATCTATATCAGCGCTGGGCGCATTCCAGTGGATCCAAATACTGTTGTCATTTACCATTTATCTCAATGGCAAGCTTACCTAGAGTTACTTATATCTCCACCAGCTATTCCATTCTATTGATCCCTTTATAGCTCATTCAGTTCTTTGTATCACCTTGACACAAGGTAAATTTATGGTGGCCCCAGTTCTCAATCTTCTCCAATTGTATTATTCTGCCCATTTTTGCACATGTCTTATACCTAGTTCATCTTTATTGCTTCTGAAAAATCTTTGAATTTGAGCTAATTCTACAATTCACTCGGGTTCCGAGTCCCTACTTGAACATTTGATAGTGATGCGAGAAAAAACTGAAGTTCTTGCTGCGCATCAGAATCTTATTGTTTGTGTCAGAAGCTGTAGCATGATCCATCTTTCCGAACTCTCTCTTTTGAGGCTAAGGTACCGATCATCATCAGTAATGTAATTAATTGTTTGTTAAATTCTACTTTTCAGAGAGTGCTCACTGCAACACTAGGTTCTTGAAAGCGCTCCTTATAATTTGTAAACTTCACTTGTTTGCTCAGATCCATAATATGTAGAAAATGTTATAAATTCGCACTCATCGTCTTCAACGTAATTTTGGAATGATGTTAATGAGGTGTGTCTACATCTTTCTGCTTCATCTAGCTGCGCTTTTGTGATGACTTACCTAGTTTGCGAATTCTCATCTCTTCTCATCATTCTCATTCTTTTTGGCTGCTTATCAAGATAATGAAGTCCAATTTATTCTTAAGACTTGCTGAAAGAAAGCTGGATTTCGAAAAATCTTCGCTGAAAACTGACTAGTTTTCCAGGCTGGATGCAAAGTTGATGATCTCTTTGTTGACTTACGAGATGGCTTTTCACTCGTCACACTACTCGAAGTGCTCACTGGGGAACGATTGGTGAGTGATACTTGAAGCTCTAAATAATTTGAAAAGTTGTATCTTATCACTTATAAAATCTACCATACAAAAATGTCTCTGAAGTAACTGAATCAGTTTTTCAAGAGCTTGTAGAAGTTGTAATGTTTTTTTTGAGGTTTCGGTCTTTGTTACAATAAAACCATTCCATTTCAGCCCCGTGAAAATGGCTACACTCGCTTTCATAGGATACAGAATGTGCAATACTGTCTAGATTTTTTGCGGAAGAAAAGTGTGAGTGCTTCCTTTCTGCTTGTTATCGCCGTTTCTTTTTTCGTCGTCCAAGACATTTATCATGCCTATCGATCTTCTTAATAAATTACAATTAGAGTGAAGAAGTTCCTCTCAGAACTTTCCTTGTAGTATTCCTCTGTCTTAAGCTATGAGAAAAGCAATTCCATATAGTTTAGTTTTGAGCACTAATAGGCAGAAACATGGTTTACTTACCGTAACAAAGCGGTGAAGGAAGTCGAAGTATACTTCTCAACAAGCAGATCATGCTAGAAGAAAGAATATCAGATGTCATACTTCAATCAAAATCCTTTCATCTTTAGCAATGCCACGATAACTAGTAACTATCGTGGCACTAAACTAGTAATCAGAAAACAAAAATAAAATAGAAATAGCGAGAGATCATTATATGTATGGGAGAACCTCCTTCTCAACTCAACATCTTCGCAGTCCAATAGTGTTTGAGCATTGCTCTGTTTAAAACACGTCTCTTCCTACTCTTCCATAGCTTGAATGATTGCGACAGTTATTAGTGGGCGCTTTCTTAACTATGTGTTCTTTGTGATTATCATCGCGCTTGAGTTTCAACTACCCTATTTACAGGTTTATAAGCCGCGGAGTGGTCCTAGCTTACATCGACCAGCCCGAACACATCAAAGGACCTCGCAACCAAAGGACCCCACATCGTGCTGCGTATTGCCTGAAAGAATCGTGCGGCATAAGGATCGCTTCTCGAAACACAATGAAGCGGCTGAGCAGCTCGTGGGAAAATTTGAAAAAGTGCGGCTTATACACCTGAAAATAGGGTACTCTAATTTCGGGTTTATAAGCCGCACTTTCTCGAATTCCTAAGCGAGCTACTGAGGCGCTCTACTGTGTGTAAGAAAGCGATCTTTATGCCGCACGGTTCTCTTGGGCAATACGCTGCACGGTAGATGGTCCTTTGGTCGCGAATTCCTTTGGCATGTTCAGGCTATCAATTTTAGGCCCGTGTGCACGTACATCCCCGCTGGGGACGGGAGGGGATCCGAAAGGGGATGCATCATATCTCGCTACTTTAGGTATCTTTCTTCTTCCTTCTCTATCTTGTTTATGAAGGTTCTCATACCCTAATACCTGCACATAATTGATGCCAGATCACTGGCATAATTGATTAGATTTTCACTTTTGTGTGATCCCCTGGGGGATCACACAAAATAGTAAAAATTTTCTCTATCTTGCTTTCAATTTCAATGCCATTTATCTTCCTGAAAGCTCAATGAAAATGCTGTAAAATTGTACTGTGAATAAACTAGGCACTGCTAAAGATGTTCATAGTAGAAGTGAAATCTCAGGATACCGAAGATTAGCGAGTATGAAGAACTTTATAAGCAAGAAAGAGACGAGATCTGACGCTCCCCTCTCAGATCCCCTCCCCTCCTCGGCGCGGATGTACGTGCATACGGGCCTTACAAGGGAGGTCCGATCAGTCGAAGTGGCCTTTTCAAATGGGTCATATACTATTTTGAAGAGCGTTAAACGCTGATTCCGAATCTTTCTTCGTTATCTGCCGAGCGCCTCTGGACACCGAGTTATAAATGTTTTTTGGAGCGAAAAATGAACGCAGAATTCAAGTAAAATTGACTATTACGGACTTTTCAGCGCCTAAATAGAGCAACATGTTGTATGAGTGTTTTGGGCAAAAGGTGTCCTTTGAAATGGGGTGCTCTGGTAACCAACATTGGACCATTTGAGCAATTCTGACGAATTTTGCCCTAATTACGCATTCAATTTTTTAACCCAAAGAACGCTCATAACTCGGCGTCCAGAGGCGCTCGGCAGTTAGCGAAGACAGATTCGGAATCAGCGTCCTAAGCTCTATAAGAAATATACATTTCAAGATGAAATGCCACTTCGACCATGTATCCTTCCCTTGTTAGAAACCCTCCTCCCTTCTTCTCTCCTCCGCGCGGCTTATACACTTGATAGAGTAATATCCATGGTGTTTGCACATCAATACTGCGTTGTCAGTTTGTGAAGTTATGCTTTTGCGTGTCTAAATACTTGCTTATAAGGGAAGGATAGCAAATTGAGTTGGTGAGTGAAGGCGAATATAGACGTGTCTTCAAACGCTGATTCCAAATCTGCTTTCCCTTTTTGCGGAACAACTTCCGGAAGAGGTTATGAGCGGCTGGAAGTCCAAATGTGTCAAGCTTCAAGCGGCCTATTATTAACGAAAAGCTCTACAAAAACTTTTCGAAGTGGATAGTCAATAATTCATCAACTATTTTTACTATAAGGAAGGAGCTTGGCCAGTGGAAATCGCATAGTGTGTTGCAGTGTTGTTGCAGAGTTTTTCGTTAATTTTGAGTCACTTAGAGCTTGCCAAATTTGGCAAATTTGGACATTCAAGCGCTCATTACTTTTTTTTTTGGAGAATTGTTCCGCAAAATGAGAAAGCAGGTTTGGAATCAACGTCTAACTGTAAGAAGCGTCTGGTGGTATAATTTCGTCTTCAATCGCCAGCTTAATTTGATATCCTTCACGTCAGCGCGAGATGTTCAAGCAACAAGCAACAAGTGCGTCTAACTGAATTTCGGCAATCATTGCTAATTCGCATTTGTAATACATTTACTTCGCCTTGGAAAACGCTGTAAGATAATTAGTGGAGCATCTCATTTTGGGACATCGTCTCATGTACCACATTCATCGCACTTGTTTGGAATACATACTTAGAAACGGTGATCTGTTGTCACTGTTGCTACAAATTACTGTAATCTTTCAAATGATGTGAAGCCGAAGCATGGTGGAGCACAGATGCTTTACATTAGTCGAACCCAGTTCGATCATTTTTTTTAGAAAAAGTAGCCTCTGTTGAATTGATATTATAGCTGGCTCGCTTACCTGTTAATTGTCTCATGTGTATGCATCTTACATTTCAAGTTGTATATCTTTTGTGATCGAGATGTTTTGATGTCTTATATCTCTGTTTTGGGTTTCTTGTCATAGTGGCTAAATAGATGAGTTGAAATATGTTTTAGCGCCTAAGATGAGACGAATTTGAGTTGGTGTAACTCACCGTCTCCGGAAAAGATGTTCCATAAAATCGTTTCAAGTTCGCTTATGATTCGATACAGAAACAATTCTTATAGATACCCCTATCCCATTCTGTCGCATGTTCAAACATTTTCGGAGTAGTAAGTTTCAAATTGAAAGATTTAGCGCAAGTCATGTAGAAAATTATTGATGTATTGCATTCATGGGACAAATAATAGGTACGGTAGATGGCATTGTTGAACAGAATGGTTGAACTTTGCGGAAAGATAGTATGGTTGACCTCGATCACAAAAAATCCATGTAAGGCCCCGGACACACTTCACGCGACTTAATCGTCGCGATCTAATCGCCAGCATTTCCATTCATTTTCATTTCACATTCAAAATTTCGGGCTGGAAAAGTATCACAACCGAATGCAAGTTGATCGGCATGGAATGATGTTGTGACAGTTGTCTCGTCGCGATTCAGTCGCGACGATCAAATCGCGTGAAGTCTGCCCGGGACCTAATGCAATCACTGGAGAGATATAGACTTTATCTCAAACCAAATCACATTTTCCTTATTACGCCTAACAAATGTAAGGCACCATGTAATGATAATGTAATGTAAGGCATGTGAGTAATGTCCACTTTTCTTGAAAAAACTGAGGGTCATCTTAACTTGTGGATGATGTGGGTCTTAGGGGCAGCCTTACTAAGGTTTGATTTATAAGGCACCAGTGAATTTTTGTAAACAGAAAGATGAGAGCACCTTTTTATGAAGTGTTGGGGTAACTTGAATTAGCTCATTTCGAAATGATTTTGCTTTTTTCAAAGGAGCGTACCCACAGAACAAAGGGCTCAGAAAAAGAACAAAACTGCGACCCGGGATTTATCCCATGGCCTGCTAATTTTCTGAACTTTCGTGTCGAACCCCCCAAAAAAAGTCGAAGTAACGGATAAATAGAGTTAACTCTACGGTATACAAGACAATTCTTTTCCTTCCATAGCTTGCTTTTCAAGATTTGTTAAATCAATTATTTTTGCTATCGAATGCCAATCTGGTCAATTTACTCATAAAACATCAACCGGCGAGCAGCATGGGCGTTGCTTGTGTAGCTTTTTGTCCTCTTAATGGGGTTTTTTGACTTCCGATTGGGGAAGTTTCGGGATAAAATGGTCATAATTCATGCTTTTGGACGCGGCTCAGTCTGTAAACAATAAATTTGAGAGTTGGGCTGTGAGCGCTTGCTTTGTGAAGTGGTGTTGGTTATAATCCATTTCTGTAAGTTTCGAATTACGAAGATTTATTGATGTTTAATGAGTTTGTATCTGGGACGGGCCTGAAATCCAGTGTTTCAAATAAAAATGTACGAATAGCATTACTTGGATTTCATCGAGATCGATACAAAGATTTTACGAGAATAGCCAAACTTGACATGGCAAAACCTTGATTTTGGACATGATTTTGGAGCTTTCTGAGAGCTCGTCGTTTGTAGCATGGAGAGATCATCATTTGAAGAGGATGAAAATTTGCACATCCTCAATCTCCCGAGGACTGTTCTGCTGGATGTTACGCTCGTTCGAGAGAAGAATCACTTTTAGAACGCCCTAAAACTTTTGGCTTTTTTTTTCTACAAGTTATCACTTAATGTCTTTTTTGTTTAACCGTTATGAAAGCATTCTCCCAAGAGATTGTCCTCCTCTATCTTCCTCCAAGTTTTTAATGAACTCCATTAAATTTTTTTTCATTTTTTTCCTCTGGATAATTTTAAGAGTTATTGAAATGCCCCCTCTTACGTTGGAGCTATTAGGAGGAGGTAACCACGCACTTACCACGATAACTGCGATTAACAGCAATTATGTCGTTTTGCGGAACACCCAAATTTTCCTTTTTCTAACATTTTTTCTTCTTTCTTCGCTCCTTTTCTCTTCCTGTTTTTTTCGTCTGTGAAAGTTTCGTGTAATCCTTTGACAGTAATTCGCAGTCTCCCTCAAAACTCTAAGAAGCTTGGAAACCTGTGTAGCTATTAAATAGGAAAAGTGTAAGCAGTCTGAGTTAATCTAATTTCCTAAGTTGTATGCTTCTTTTGAATCGAAGATTAGGTGCTGGAATGGTGATTTTTCTTTCTGTCTGTGCCCCTCCCCCCCCCCCCTCTTTGAAGTCTGAATATTGCTGCACTCCCTTTCCGGTCACGGTAACTTTTGACTTATAATCAGGATATTTGGAACATGTATTAAAAACACTTTGTGTCACAAAACTGGCAAGTATATGTTAATTACGATAACTATATTTTTATGGAAATGTCTTTATGCCAGTGTCATATAATCTTTTGAGTTACTTCACATAACAACGCAGTTCAAAGTCCGACACATAGATTTCTCAGTTTTCTATTTTACAGATCAAACTAGTAAACATCCGGCCAGAGGACATCGTTGAAGGAAATGGGAAACTAACGCTTGGCCTGATATGGACCATCATTCTCAACTTCCAAGTGTCCGTCATAAAGAAGCGTCAATTAGAGGAACAGCTGAACTCTGAAAACTACAGTAATTCTACTCAGGTAAGTGGATATCTTTGCACCGCTTGTCTCTGCGCTCTCCGTAATCTTATTTCTTTTTCCGTTAAAGCTATGAAAAAGTGCGCTAATTGTACGCTTCTCGTCACTCCTTATCTTTTCGAAGAGGCTTTTTTCCAAAACCGTTGATCGTCAATCAAATCGTTTGTTTCTTGCATAGTTTGCAGGCTGCAGATCTTTTCTCTCTTTTTTTTTCTTGATATAATTCGTCTCACTGATGTTTTGTCTTGCAATCTGTCATCAAACCCCCACATTCGACTTTCGAACAGATTTTCGTTGCGGTTCTTCCAATATCCACGAGATTACTTTTTGCTTGAAAACTTGCAGTAATATGGCAGCAATGCCCAAGTATAACAAATCAACATTAGTAGCAGCACTACATTCTTTAGTTGCTTTTCCCCCAGTTGTCATTCATGTCGTTGACTCCCTCTCACGCTTGCCAATTTTCTTCAGGTTAGTTATCGTTAATCATCTCCTAGCTGTTTTCTTTGTTGTCTTTCGTTATCTTACTCCAGGCACGTGCTTTCGAAGAATCTCGCGCCATTCTGCAAACAGTCTCTGTCTTTATGGCAGTGGGGGTCAATTTTAGCTCGTCATTAGGTGGAGAGCAAGAGAATAAAAATATTGCGGACTTCTTGCTGTATTTGGCATCGAATCTCAATCTTAACAATCTCTTCCAAGTTTACTGGGTGGTGTGAGTGCTATCTCAGTGATAATGAGATGTTTTTGACGTCAGAATATCTCAAGGATTTCTTGTGTTTTTATTGTCGCACATGCCACTGATTTGTATTCATTTCCTTCAACCTGCTTGATTGTGGTTTCCTCTTCTGCTTTTTTTTACCACGAGTCCAAAAAGTTCTTTCTCATACTGCTCGTCTCCCCATAAATCATGCAGTGCCATCTCTCGCTTTGCAAAAAAATTTCTTCTTGCTGTCAGGTCTTCAGATATCGCCATTTTTGATTCCGCATCATTTCTCAGCATCCTGAAGTATAGCACCATAGAAGTTTTTACCGAAATACTTCCTTCTTCTCCAACAATATTCGTTTTGCCCCGTTTTGCGGCTTTTTGCGGAAGTCGAATTACGAAAGAATCCGGGTTCGATGACATTGTTGTTTTTTGACATCCGACAGCAAGTTCGATGTAATGTCATTAGTTTCATGCGTCCCATACAGAGAACATTTTTTTAAACGAACCTATCTCATAATCTTTGCAGACATCATCGTTATGCACATGGATGCTAGATTGGTTCATGGACAAGCATTTTCATTGTAGTTACATCGAATCTTCTACTAACCAGATAAGATTCTCAAAGTCAATTTTCAACTTGGCTCTAGTTCTTATCTCATCCCACCAGTACATCAAATGAGTTTTTTTGTCTAAAAACCGTTGAAAAGTGATGTACCCGTTGTTTCCCGGTCTAATGAACGCTGCAAAGGCCTGCCTTGAACTTTTCCACTTTTCGTTAACAGTGGATTATAGGGGCATTCTTGCAGCGGCTGAACGCTTTTCGTCCAATCTCATCTTTCTTTTTATGGTACACAAAAACCACCAAATTATCAGTGTTTGCGCATGAATTCTTCCACTCACTCAGAACAGAACTGTTTAGGACTCGGGTTCCAAAGTGCATCGTGTAACTCCTAGCCCCAGCTAGATAAAATGCTTGGTTTTTCAGAAAACAAGTATTTTATCTTATTCTTTCTTAGTGGTTTTAGGCGACGTTGACGGAAGACACCTGTAATTTATACTTACTTTGGAAAACGAAATCTAATGGGTTCGAGAAAAAGGAAATGCGCAATTAGCAGAGAGGTCCTAGTTTTCAAGCGACTTGGAGAAAACGCAGCAAAATCCTTTTTCCTGAAAACCTGCAATCCAGTTAACGATAGAAACAACATGCTGCATATGAATCACAGCGAGGTTCCATAATCGTGCGAGAAATCAGAATAATGGCGCTTTGGTTTAGTCTCTTGTGCGCTAATTAGAAAAGCTTGTCAAGGACGAAATTCTGTTATCCAAAGTGTTTTGGCTTACAAGGAGTCGTCTATTAGAAAACGTGCTTGGATCTTACATTGTTATTGTTAGCACATACTCCTATGTAAAATTCTTTTTTGAGCTGCAAATCAGCTGTGTTGTGAACATAGCCGGGAAACAAATGATGTATTGGATTTTTCGTTTTTGGGGTGGACACTGGTTCCGAAAATTCATGTGGACCACACATTGTAATTGGACTTTCCTCACTATGCTTTTGCGATGAAATTAGCAGTGTTGTACGCTTCGTAATCAAACAATGACATGGTCCAATGCGAAAGCATAAAAGCTATGATCATGCGTGACACTTTCAATAGTCTCAGTGTGCTCATGATTGTTTGGAGTACTTCTCGTTGCGTTTCAAGTGTTTACATCATCCACTCTGAACTAAGGTTAAGTTTCCAGAGAAAATATTTGTTTCTAACAAGATCATCTTGCCAATCTCCTCTTTCTATTGAGCAAATCGTCATGCCATTACGTTCTGTTTGCACCAAAATGTGTCATTGAATTGTCCGTTATAGAGTTGATGCATTGTCGCGTGACATCAGCCGTGTTGATACTCATCTTTCCCATTAGTTGTGACCACACCTGTGCCCTTGGAGTTTTCTCAATCTTACGCGACTGGCTGTCGCTTCGTAACGAGCTGGGCGTGACTCGTGCAGTCAGCAGCGTCAGTTTCCGAGGCGAAGCCGCGAACGATGACTAGACGCGACGCCAAAATATTCTCCTTTTTCTCCGCTACACCCCTACCACGCCCATGTTTACACTGTGCTGCCAAGTTTGCGTCGACCTGCCCATTAATGGAGGCGCGCAGTAGATGATAGGAAAGGGAAAGGGGCGTCGAAAAAGTTGTGCAAGTTCATGCTTCGTTATGCAGATGATGGTGTGAGTGGACAGTGCAGGAGAATTCGATCTGGTTCTGCATTAATCACTTACATCCGACTGTGATGTCCAAATGCGCACATCCTGCGAGACCGGTCGACGGCCGATTGCCCACAATCAGCGGATATGCTAATATGTTTGCAACAATTTTGAAATACGCGGGGGCTTCTCCATGATTGTTGTACCCTTTGCGCAATCGCAGATCGGATTTTATTATGGTTCTGTGCACAGAGTCGCGGAAGCTGTCCCTAGGACTACTTCAATTCTGACAAGGCGATGATACTTGGTGTAGTCTAAGTGGCCATTCCATTTGAATCACTGCTTTTGATAGAATCCAAATCTTATTCCAGAATTTATTACTGCAGAAATTCGAGGGTTCGGCTACAATAAGATTATTCATAACTGTACTTTGTGAGCTCACATAGGCTATGGTAGCGGTTAGAACATTCTATGCAATTGATACTTTATCTAGAGAGCTGTAGCGATCTCAGCAACTTTTTTTGCCCTAGCTGCTTTGAATTTTTGCCCCAAAACATCCGCGTAATTCTATATCAGAGGCGCTTGGCAGTAGCGAGCAGCCTTGTTAGTGCGTTTTCCATGTTCGTGAGAGGGCCTTAGACGGGTTGTGCGGAATCACGTACGATACATATGAGACTACGTGCGCATAAATATTCAAATAGTTTCCAATAGCTTCTTTTGCCGACTGGCTCGCACTTGCAGGTTGCAAACTCATGTAGAGAAAAACTTCTGTGCTTGAGAAGAAGGTCAAGGAAATTCGTTCATGTAAATTGATTGAAAGGATTACTTGATGCCAAATTTCTGATGACAGGCAATCATCACGTGTGATTTCTCAATTCCGTCAGAATTCGCCTTTTTCATCGTTGCGAACGCACAACTAAACGTTTTCGATTTTCGGATTCATTGGAATTCTATTGAGCAGATTCATGGTGGCACCTTGTAGCGCACTTTCGTAAAGTCTATCGATCTTTATTCAAATGGAGATGTTATGACGACTCGTAAGAATCGCTAAGGCCTTTGTCGTCTAGTGATTCATTCTGATGCCACGGTGTGCGCACAGACCGTGGCTCAGTTTCCCTTTTGTCTCGTTTAGCGGCTTGTTAACCGTTCAAATCCCTTCTGCATACGGAAGCCGAAACTATGGCGTTCATCGCTCTCGTTTTACTGGCAGTCGCTGATGGCGGCGCTGGCATATCTTTCGATTACTTTGTCAGTCGAGGACAGGCAGCAGGAGCGGAGGAAACAGGTCGCAGAGGCGTCGCATCAACTGCGGTTGCGGGCGTCGATGTCGACGCGGGCGGGGCTACGGTGTTTGGCGGGGCGGGTCCCTCGCAAACCCATCCCTGTACACGCTGCGACGCGTGGAATGTTCCTGCGAGTCTAGCACTCCTACTTCTACTATTCCTTGTCTCGACCGTACTTACCATGTACAAAGTACTGCGATCGTACTCAAAGAAGGCCGAGCGTAAGCAAGAAGTGTCTCGAGGAAGCGACCGTAATGGTCATATAGCCAACAATTACTATGATGAGGCACATCACAAGGGCTACGAGAATGGGCACCATGCCAATGGGCAGCTTCTGGCTGTAGACAATAGACATCTGAGCAACGCCTATGCCGCTGGACAGGCATTTTCCGAAAGCAGCTCGTACGAGACCAGAGAGCATTTTGAGCGGAAGGTGCAACGCGTGAAGAAGACTCGAGGCGAGCGCGAACGTTCTCGCAGTTCACGAAGAGGAGATGAGGTACCTGAAACTTATATTTTTCATACTCTTCTTGTCTGTCCTACCTCAACTCAGCAAATTTTCTGCTGTATTTGAGCTCTCATCGTGTAGTTGTAATTGCGCGTCACTCAGCAAAAGAAATATCTCTGAATCATTTTATTCTTTCCCATCAACTTTTTCATAAGCATTGATTGATGTTGAGCTGGCACTCATATTTCCACGTGCATCATATTGATATCCAATTGGATAACCTTGTCTCCCTTGGCGCAGTGCGAACGCCTTGACCTTTTCAGTGTCTTTATTGCGGTTAGTTCCATAACCGTCCGTTCTGTGCTAGCAGGTTGAAACCAGATTCGCTGACTCAGAACTTCGACAATACCCTCGCTTCTGCGATGCGGTTACACCCATTCATGGTATTTTGTTATTTACCATGAAAGGAGTACGTAACTACCCATGCCACCCTTCCTTTCGTTTCTCTTACAAGATGCCTTGTTATTCACTCTGATATAAGCTATGGGGAAGTGATGAGAACGGAAAACGGTTCGTAGAGAATCTGGTTTTGGAACCTTGATTGCTTCGCTATGGCAGCCACGCCCTGTTACAGTTTCCTATCATTATGTGCGTAAAGACCAGGTATGCGCGATGCACTAGTAATTAATGCGATGGCGCTGTAATGAATATCAGAAGGAGCCCGAGTTGACAAGAAATTTTATAGAAATATTTCCCTCTAACAGTTTTCTTACCACGGATTGCGTGAGCGTGGAAAGTTTGATTGAGTTTTTGTGCGACGTTGAGTGTACAAAGCCACGAACCTCCCTCTCGCTCGCTCCAGCTCTTCTACTGGAAGCTCTCAGCCAAAAGGCAAACACGAAGAGCGTTTGTACATATGGCGTTTCGCAAGATTTTAGACAATACCATGAGCGCACATGCATACTACTCATGCTATTTAAAGAATTTATTGAAGTGATCGCGAGTTAGTTGGATGCGAACTAGTTCCTGTAAGCTGTGGGGGTGTCTATATGCTGTGGCTAATCGAGAACCTGTCCAGAGACTGCACAGTGCATGCTTGTGTGTTGCAAAGCCATTATCTTGTAATTTTCAGGTAGCAGAAGCACTCCACGCAAGCGACGCATCGTCGGCGCGCGATGCCCTTCTACAATGGGCTCGAAAGGTCATTGTCTAAATTCAAATCTGTTAGTTAGCGTTCTCAACTGCAGAACTCTAGGTAACGAGCGGCTATCCGCGCGTGAATGTGACCAATTTTTCCTCGTCATGGAAGGATGGCCTTGCATTTAATGCTATTCTTCATCGGTATCGACCAAATCTCATTGATTGGAATAAGGTCAGTCTTAGTGTATCCATTTTCTTTCTTTCAATAAAGCTGCTCTTCCAAGCATGATCCTAATGGCAATGCTTGCTGCATTTTGGATGAATTCGTACCAGTACTGTTTTCCAAAACTAGCATGGGAATCGTTTTTGAAAATCAATAGAAGCGGAAATTACACGGAATATGAGTCACTGAGCATACATGTTCATAGTTGCGCGACGAGGCGGAATCATGGAGGCGCAGCCATGTTTCCGAAGGCAAAGAAGCAGAGCTCGATTTTAATTGTTTCTGCAAATGAGTTGATATGTTTTGAAAGCGAAAGCTGCGCGTTGTCGGTTGCAGCTAGGTGATTTATGAATAGCAATCTTGCCCGTATTGATTATTAGCGAAGAATCAATTCTACTGAAGTTTTTAAGCCAAGTTTTTCTTTGCATTCCTTGAATGTCAGCGAGAATTACTGTTTAGGTCAGTGACTCGTCAGTATCGAACCGTGAACGTCTCGAGAATGCGTTCGCAGCGGCAGAGAGGGAATTTGGAGTGGATCGACTACTTGATCCACAGGACGTTGACACCGATCATCCAGACGAAAAATCTATCATCACTTATGTGTCATCTCTCTACAATGCATTACCGCCACTCCCCGAGCTGTCCAAGGTGATCACTTTTTTCTAGCTGCTATCATTAACATTTTCCGAAAGTCTCTAACCGCATGAAGTGTAAAACTTAACGAAGTGCCGTCCCGTTCTTCGTCCCTGAACTAACCACATTCTCAGCTGTTGTCGCTGCAACAACGCTATCTAGTCGAAGTGTCGAAATGGATGGAATGGATGGAAGTATCGATTCGTCGTTTCGATGACTCGATTCCTGTTCTATCCCCTCGCGAATCCTTGGAAGAATTGGAAAAATTTTGTCGTGAATTCTCAGTCCATGAGAAAGAGTATCGCCACCTAGTAGAGACACATGAACTTCTTGAACGTCACTTGTCAGGCACCGAACATCTTTCAATTCCACAAAATTACACCCGCCGTTCCTTAGAGGAGATTTGGCTCAAGCTCACTCGTTTGAGTGAGAGAAGACTGAGCAAATTACAAGCGGCAGTGGACGAGGTGTGTTCCGAAGTCAGCAACTTCTCTTCTGTCGCTTGTCTACATTGCTTTGATTCTAACCCTGCCATTTCTTTTTGAGAGCCTTATGCGTTGCCTTTAGCTGAATATATATTTTGCAGAGCAACTTGGCTGACCTGATCAGCAGGTTGACACGAGGCATTGGCATTACCAATGAAAAACTCGACCTGATTCTCCAACGTGAGTGAACATTTTTTTGCTACTTGCCCTTACTTACCGACCTCTTATTGCGCTTTTGCAGGAATTGAAGAGGTCGAGTCACGAGTGGATTCAGCTCGCCCTGGAGAAATTGAGAGAGCTGTGAATGAAATTGTGGACGATCTAAATGCTCTTGAAATTCCCATTGGAGGCTTCTTCGAAGATGTAGAGGAACTGAAGGCAAATAATCATCCGGAGGCCAACGACTTCTATCGACAGTAAGACTGAAAGCAGGATCGCTTATGTATAATGTCAGATGAGTTCTTTCAGAGTATACGGTCTCCATCAACGTCGCACTGCGTACCTGGATCGTCTTACTAATCAATTACTCGTTCGTTTGGGTGTACGCACTGAAACACTGAGAAAAGAAAATGCCGCTCGACTTGAATCTGTCCGTACGTCAACATTCAGCAGAGTACAGGAATGCATTGAATGGGTCCGCGTTCGACTGGTGAGGAGCATTATAATCATCGACGATTAGGAGTTATAAAAACCACTTTTAGATTAGATGCCACTTTCCTTTTTGCTCTTAATTGCTCCTTACCCTCACTGATTATTGAGAATGTCTGGAAATCATTATCGAAATCTTTGTAAGAAGGTGGCGATTGTAATTGCGTTACAGCTGTCGTTAATGCGACACTGTCCTTTTGCGGAAAGAAACCGAAAAACTCTAATGAGTTAAAATGTAACAGATGGTTGGCACGAATCAAAGTTAATTTTCAAGGAAAAGCTCTCTGAAATGGAGTTCCTGGAAGACCTTGAAACATTGGAAGAAATGTTCGAGCAGCATAAGCTAGACAACAGGGATATACAGGATTTTCGCCAAAATGTGGATGAATGCATCGCACGTCAGGTAATATCTTCGATTTTTTCTGTCGTTTACTGAGTTGCAACTCTAAGCAAACGAAAAACCTTAAGAGTTTCTTCTTTTTGTTGCTCTATCTATCGGAGTGCGTAACGCCGTTCTTTGTTGTTCCGGGAGAGAGCGCGATGCTGCGTTTTCTGTAGCTCTGGCAAGTGTGCAGCCAGTTTTCGATGTTTGCCTGTAATTGTATGCGACTGCATGCTCACGCTCGGTCATACCCGTTTGGGGAGCAGCTCCTATGAAACGACGGAAGGAGGCTGTTGAAATGAATTTCGATTAGCAAATCGTGCAGTAACCTAAATGATTCACTCTGGCACTTTAGTCATCAACGTGGGTGGGTTGTTCACAAAGAGAAGATTAACGGAAGTGATGTGTACTCGTCGGTGAGGTTCTGCAAATCTAAGAAAAAAACTCAAAGACTGAGAAACTTTTCTATGCTTGAGTATACGTCACTAGCGTTCAGAGCGTTTTGTTTGAAAAGAATGTGAAAATGTTCCACAACAACATGCATGACAACATCAAGCTTAGGCATAAAGGTTATAAAAACGTGCACGTGACTTGTTTTCACTCAGAAATTATTTGAACTATTTTTGAAATCTCTCAAAGATTCAAATAAGCTTCCTAAAAAAAATTTTCGGTTGTGTGGCGGCAGACTTTTTCGATCCAGAATTTATAGGCAAGAAAATTATAAAACATTTCTGAAGAAAGTTTTTTGGACCGCCACATGGTAGTGTAAACATGGAGCATTTTATGTGGAAGAGGAGTTCCATAGGTAGCTGTTTAGATTGAGATCCTTCAAATTTCTTGCAATAGTTCACTTCACCGTCGAAAGTGCCCCTTTTTGATTGAGCACTCTTGTTTATTGCCTAACATAATGTTTTTGGTTAGCCAGTGTTAGCGTTATGCAGATTTCGAGGGAAATAGATAAGATGATTTGATATGAAACTTTTATAGGCTGAAGTCTCTGCGGAAGATACGTATGAGTACTGCGAACTTCTACGTGTGTTAGAATCCGAGTACCAGCAACTGCGAGACTTATCTGCTGGAAGAATGCTTGACTTAGTAAGGATCCCGTATCATCCACTTCTATCCGATCGACGAATTATTTCTCTAGGATTCACTCATAGCCTTTGTACGAGCTGCTCAGCTGGAATTGGTATGGGTGTCTGAAAGAGAGGAAATCGAAGTGACCCGCAATTGGTCCGACATCAAACAACTGGACTTACCAATGCTCACCAACTACTACAAACAGGTAAGCATAGGAATAACTGTGCTAAGCCAAACCAAACTAATTTTTCTATAGCTTCTTCATGAAATGGAACTTCGTGAGAAGCAGTACAATGACGTTCACAACCAAGGAGCTGCGCTGCTCAATCAAGGTCATCCAGCGGTTCATGTGATCGAAGTCTACTTGAGAACGATGCAAAACCAATGGGATTGGCTACTGGCCTTGAGCAAATGCTTGGAAGAACATCTGCGAGATGCGCTTAATTTGAAATCGGTTCGTACGGTTTTTGCAAGAATTAGATAATTGGTTGAGATTCGATGACAATCGTTGCTCATATGGTCTACGAAACTTTAGTTCACCGAAGAGGCTGCAGATGCAGAGGCTTGGATGGAAGAACAAGCTATACGCTTGGAAAACAACTACAATCGAACCGATTTTGACTTAGAGGAGGGAGAAAGACTTTTACGTGAACTGGATGAGATGAAGGTCAGATATTGGAGTTTTTTTTTTCACGCATCCGTCAACAAATATATGGAATTGAGGAAGAACTGTATTTTTATCTGTTTTTGATCTTTCCCACGCGAAAAACTTAACAGTTATTAAAGGCAGTGTCCGGGGAAAAACTCGATTTTGAGATTTTGTGCATATACGGGCCTATTCGCCATGCTGAATCCAAAAATCCACGTTGGAAAGCGCAAATGGCGAAAAAGGGCTCTAACACAGGAGGGAAATCAGCAGGCGGGCGGGGCTTTCCCCAGTGCGATTTCACGCTCCCAGCTCCCGGAGCGATTTTCTCGATTCCGCTAGCCGTCCTAACATCGCTATCGGTCAAGTACGAATGACTGGCTTGAAACCGGAAGCGAGAAGGTCGCTCCGGAAGCCGGGAACATGAATTCGCAGCGGGGAGGACCCCGCCCACCTGCTCATTTCCTTCCTGTGTTGAAGCCCTTTTTCGCCATTTTCGCGCTCTACAATGTGCATTTTCGGATTCAGCATAGCGAATAGGCCCAAGTAAGCATAAAATCTCAAAATCGAGTTTTTGCCCGGACACTGCCTTTAAGAGCTTTCTGCTTTTTTTGAAAAAAATTGTTTGTGCGAGAGGCTTGGACATCTAAAAATGTTCCATGTTAGATTAACAACATTATTCTAGGAGATCTTAAACAAGTACCACTCCGTATTGATGGCCTTGACTGAACGATGCGCAACTATCTCTCCACTTTGGCAAAGAGGAGAGCGCATCTCCCGTCCTATCGCTGTAACAGCGTTGTGTGATTACTCGGACAAAACCGTTCATATCAAAGCTGGTTAGTCACGAGCACCTAGCTGAGTTACTGGAAGGAGTGCCATTTTGTAGGTGATGAGGTGACTCTGCTGGACAATTCTGACTTGATCAAATGGCAAGTGCGCGATCTTTCCGGCGCCGAAGGAACAGTACCATCAGTTGTGTTCCGCATCCCACCTCCGGATCCTAAGTTGACAGCCTACTTGAATCGGCTACTGCAGCAGTTCGAGAAACTGAAGAAGCTATGGGAAAAGAAGCATCGCATGGTCCGCTTCAACATGGTGCTGAATACAATGAAAACCATCCAGTAAGACACCATATTGTTTTTTTTACTCAAAAGTAGCCAAGTTTGGAGTAAAAGCACAACTTTTTGCAGAGGTTGGGACCTGGATACATTCAATGCTATCGACCCTGAACAACGCGATGCTATTATGCGTGCTCTGAACGACGATGCTAACAAGTTACTGGCAGAAATGGATCCCAATGATCCGCTTGCCTTACGTTTGAAAGAGGAACTCAGACGCACTAACGAGCACTTCTGGAATCTGCTAAATGCGAGCCAGAAGCCTCCCGGTTCGTAATAATCTCAATTTTATTCTTGTTCACTTTGCTCATCCACACTTTTTAGAGCCAGACCATTCTTCATTATTCGACGAGAAAATAGGTGATCTCCTGAGAAAACTTGAGGACGCTTGGCGTAAACTCAATGATAATGCTGGAAAACCGCTGTCAAGGAATCCTGATGAGCTAGAAAGAGTGATAGTGGATCACAAGAGCTTTGAAGACGCTCTGCAGGTAATACTTTTCTTTACTAATTTCATAATCACTTTCGAAGCTTTCTAATAATTACAATTGAGGCTTTGGACGCAGATGTCGCCAACATTAAAGAGTTGTTCCGCCAACTTCCAAATCCCACACCCACACAAAGGGTCAACAGTGATAGGCTCAACAGTCTTTGGGAAGATCTTTGGGACCTGTCACGCATGTACGTCGAGAGGATCAAGGTATGCAATTTTGAGCCTTCTTGCGTTTAATCAGTATCATCAGTCTTTGCATGCAGGTACTTGAATCCGTGCTAAACGGCATGCTGGAGGTGTCTGACATCGTTCGAGCTCATGAAATCACTTTGAATTCGTTTGATGATCTACCAGCAGCCCTTGACAAATTACGTGGTCATCATTCTCAACTTCTTGAGATGAACATGGTGCTTCAGGTCAGTCGAACTATATCTGCCTTACAGCATTTTGTGATAAAGTTCGTATTTACAGCAACAGCAAACCGTCGTGGACGCATTGAACAAGAACGTCGCTTTGCTTAGACAGCACGTCGCCCGTACCCGTATCGGACAAAGCAGGTAGTCTTCCTGCGCTCTCATCTTGTGATCATTTTTCCGAATCATGCTATTCTAGCCATCCCGACGTGGATAGAGTTGAGGATGAGGTGCAACAACTGAATGTACGTTGGGAGAACGTATGTGCTCAAGTAGCCGAGCGATTGAAAGCAGCCGAGCGCGCCCTACAAACGCAGATGGTGTACAGGTTGGTCATCTCCTCTGTTATTTTTAAGGTCGTAGGTTATGCAAGAATCAGGCTATCAACTAATATGTTTCGTAAGCATCTCTAAAGTGCATGATCACTGTTTAGAAGCGAGTATGAAAACGAAACGGCATGGTTGGACCGCGTTGAAGCAACCATCAACAAATTACGTAGACCTGAAGAACTGCAGCCGGAACAGTACCAGCAGCAGCTTGATCTTCTCGTCGCAGAATACGCTCAACTTCAAGAGAGAACCGAAGCCATCGAGAATGTGAACAGAGAAGGTGGAAAATTCATTCGTGAAGCCAAAGTAAGTTATGGCTCTTGCTAGTTCTTACTTTCAAAACAAAGTGTTACAGGGATACGATAGTCGCATGGGTCAATTCCATGACACGATTGTCGGCATCCACGGACCAGCAATCAAGCAGGAGTTCCGACGCACCAAACCTCAACCCAAGAATGGAGCGCAGATTGTCACTGAAGAACTCGAGGCTCTTAATAGACGATTCGCTCAATTGAGCAGCTTGATCCTTGAAAGGCGCAACACTATGCAGGTGTTGATCCAAAATTGGAAACGACAGAAGCAGGTAGGCTTGATTTATCCGTATAAGTAGAACACACGTACCAGCGGCTTCTTAAATCGACGGTAGTTTGCACTTCTCTCCCTCTTATGTCTGTCTGTACAGTCAAAGCCGCTGCTTCATGTGTTAAAAGCTCACAAGGCTTTTAGAAACCACGGAAAATCACCGCTTTGTCCACTGGGACGGTCTTGGCCATTAACCGCTGTGCCCACACCACCGGCTACTCAAAACAACTTCTTGTCCCTAATTGTGAAACAATTAATCCAGCTAGCCAAGCCTTAACTTGTCTTAGCTGTGCTAGTTCGTTTCATCTTATATTTACTACTAACTACTACCGAGAGTTTTTAGGTGCAGTGTAAGCACTCCGAGCAGCCGCCGCTAGTGCAGCTTGTGCTAGAATTGTAATGGAGTGTTGCGTGTGTAGTGCCTCCTCGGTTTCTCAGTTTGGTGTGTGCCGTTCTCTGCGTGTGTTCATTTCGTTCTTATGCTTGTGGCTGTCTCCTGCCCGCACGATCTCCACTCACCGCTATCTTCCGTGTGCTTCTCGCTTTCACTCCAGTGGCACGTGCGGCGGGGATTTTCCGAGTGCTTTGACAATCGTGTTAGTTTGAGTGGATAACTTAATAAGCTTGGACTTGGCAATTTACAGGAGGAGGAAGACAGGCGAAAAGCCGATGAAGAAGCCAAACGTCGCGCCTTTGAGGCCGCGCGTTTGAAAGCTCTCGAAGATGCAGACAGGCTGCGGAGGGAGCGGGAAGCCGCCGAGGCAGCGCGACGTGCGGCGGAGGAGGCCGACAGGGCCAGGCGCCTCGCTGAGGAAGCAGAGAGGGCAAGGAAGGCAGCCGAAGAGGCTGAAAGGCGGCGTCGTGAAGAGGAGGAGCGCAAGCGAAGAGAGGACCAGAAAAGACGAGATGACGAGGACCGCCGTCGTCGGGAAGAGGAGGAAAGGCGAAAGCGGGAAGAGGCTGAGAGAGAAAGGAAACGGCGCGAGGATGAGGATAAAGAGCGACAGCGACGCGAGGATGAAGAGCGCGAAAGGCGACGTCGAGAAGACGAAGACAGGCGACGTCGCGAAGACGAAGACAGGCGACGTCGTGAAGATGAAGACAGACGGCGTCGCGAAGAAGAGGAAAGACGGCGTCGTGAAGAAGAAGAGAGGCGGCGCAAGGAACAAGAGAAGAAAAAGGTATGTGCCAAAAGTCCATTTACCGCTTTGAGTGAGCTTTGAGTGATTTTTCTGAGTGACCTAATCAACATTTAACACTCGACTTCATCCCCAATTAGGCCTTTCATGTTTTAATAGATTCTCAGATTGATTGTTTCCAGATGCCTCCCCTGAACATTGTGCAAGGTAACCAGATGCATGAGGTGGTCGGCCAAGAAAATCCTGACGAGTGGGAGGTTATGGGTGATCTACCGGACGTGGCAAAAATCACTGAACACGAGGACGAAATGCAAATGTATCAGGAAGAAACAGTAACTAAGACGCAGTTCTACGAAATGGAGGGCACTCTGCACAAGCAGACAGGAGAAATCTTGACTTTCGTAGAAGCCGTCCGCCAGGGTCTCCTTGACCTCAGCGCAGGCGGAGGACAGTTCTTCGACATTCACTCAGGCCGCATCAGTCTCGAAAAGGCCGTTGAACTTGGTTACATCGATGGTGCTTTTAACGACGTTCTCAACACTCGTTACGGCATCCGCCACCCTGAAACCCGTGAGGAGTTGACACTTCTTGAAGCCATTCAGATCGGTCTGTATGATCCCGAGACTAGACATCTGTACGACATCCATACCGGCGAAATGCTTGAACTCTACGATTGGGTTTCCAGAGGCATCCTCACCATGGACACTCAGAGGAGATTGGTGAAAATGGGTATCTTGAAGCTTCCACCTATGGCACTGCATAGCGCTATTGACCAAGGTGTTCTGAACACCGTATCTGGTCATTTTGTTGGCAAGTATTCGCATGAGTCAATGCCCATCAAAGACGCTCTGTATCACGGCTATCTTCAACTAGTTTCTTCCCAGCAGTTCCCGATGATAGCTATCACCCTCAGTGACGCCATCAAAGAGGGTTTCATCAACGCTAACAATGGTGAATTTGATGATAAGAACAGCAAGGACACTTTCACTCTCAGAGAGGCCTGTTCGAAACAACTAGGTCTGCTCAACCTGTATGTGCCTGAGGTTGTGAACACGGCTGAAAATACCAGGTTGGATCTTAAAGACGCCATGCTAAGAAATGCTATCAACACTCGCAACGGGAACTTTACTGACCTCCAGACCCGACGCACACTCTCGCTTCGTGAGGCCTACAATGAGGGTTTAATTTCAAAACCAGCGACATTGACGGAGATGTTGGAGAAGGATCTTATCGATTCTACGAATCACTTCATCGATCGAGGAACGAAGCATAGGCATACGCTCCTTGAAGCCATTGCTGCTGGTGTCTTGGACGCTGAAGTTCGACACATCGTTGATCCTGACGAGAAGGATGTTATATCGATAGCGGAGGCGATGGAAAGAGGAATACTTGGTGCCGATGGAAAGATCATTCTCGAAAAACAGCAAAAGGAGTTTACCATTCCCGAAGCTGTCAGGGAAGGACTTCTTACAAAACGAGTGCGCCACAGTATCTTCGACGTCAGAGGCATACAAAATACCCGCACTGGTCAAACCATGAGTTTCAACGAGGCCTGTGAAGCAGGTGCCATCATTCCCAACGCTGAACGTGTCGTTGACCTCGCGACTCAGGAAAGCTACCTCATATCTGACAAGAAGGCGACCGCAATTATCGATCAAACATTGCACGATCTTCTTGTAAAGCCAGTTGGCATTAAAGGTGATCGTGGTGATTACGATTTGAACCTCGTGCGAGCGGTTTCTAAGGGCATCGTGGATCCTACGAAGGCTGTGTTTTTCAACAAGAACACAAAACACGAGATGTCTCCTCGTGAGGCATATGATGCTGGCCTTGTGACTCTGCGTGGTGCTATCCAAGTCGCCGCTCTTTTCGACGTTTCTCCTTCTCTCATTGCACCGGTGAAGAAAGTTGAGCAGAAGAAGCGTGTAAGCCGTCCAGGACAGACAGGCTTTGAGCTCGCCACGGATCAAGTCAAGGTGACCCTTGCGGAGGCAATGAAGCAGGGTCTCATCGACTCACGTAATCAACGATTCCGACAAGGAGACATCGATATGAGCCTTGATGATGCTCTAAACCAAGGACTGGTCGACCCATCTAGCGAATGGATCGTACCATCGAAGAGCAACGGCGTTGGCCCCACAATCGAGGAAAAGACTACTGAATCTATCACAGAAACTGGTCAGCAGTTGGCTCCCAAGTTCTATCCTGACAAGAACATCGAGGAATCTGTGACCACTGTCAAACGTGTGCGTACAACAGAAACAACTGCTCTTGGTGGTCCTGGCGGTGTCTCTGTGTACAGGGCAATTACCGGAGGCAAAGGAGCCATGGAGGTGCCTCTCAATGGTTACCATATCTACGAGGCAGAAAGAAAGGGCATAATTGATCTCAGCACTGGCAACATCACTTCACCCAATGTGGATCGCGCAATATCGTTTGCGGATGGCATTGAGCTCGGTGTGATCAATTCTACTTCCATATCTGTCAAGGATCCCAAGACCGGCCGTACAGTAAACATCAAAGAAGCACTTGAGAAGAAAATTGTCGGAACCGACGGATCAATTTCCTATCAGGGAAAAACGCTCAGCATTGAGAAAGCAATCGAGGCTGGATACATAATCGTTGATGCCGAAGGCGTTGTCCCCGCAGGAGGTTCTAAGAACATCATTCATATTCCATCAGGAGGAGGCCCCGTAATTAGCTTCCGTCCTGTGGGAGTGCCAATTGTAGAGGAATCTGAACAGTCTTGGTCATTTGATTCCACCAAAGGAGTACTTGTTGATCACCTGTCGGGCGAACATCTAACGCTCGAACAAGCACTCAACTCTGGCAAGATAACACCTGAAGATCTTGCTGTTAGAGACGCTCTTACAGGGCGCGAGATGTCGTTTGCTGAAGCTGAGAAATGGGGAATCATTGACAAAAAGGGATACTATCTTGATAAAATTGAGAATAAACGTTTGTCGTTCACTGAGGCTGCGCAACAACATCGAATCTACCCCACGGGAGGAGTTCCGGATAATGCTGGTGATGCGGTTCATACGTCAGTCAAGGTACAGACAAGAAGCCAAGTTGCCAAGAAGGAAGCTACCTCGACCGGTGCACCGCAGACTGAGAATACTCTCGGTAGAGCGCTGAGTTTGGGGTGGTATGATCCGAGAAGCGGCATGTTCACTCATCCAGACACGAATCGTCAAATGACCCTGAAGGAAGCAATAATCAAAGGCTTGTTCGATCCTTATGACACTTCTGTTGTGGATAGGAAAAATAACAAAACGCTATCTCTCTTGGAAGCCATACAGGAAGGTATCGTTGACGACACTGCTGGTACAGTGCTGGACAACCAAACCGGAAAGAAATACGACCTCAACTCCGCACTCCAGAGTGGTCTTTTGAAAGGAAAGAGCTTTGGCGATTCTCTTGAATCGGGTTTGTTCTCTGGACGTCTTGATCTAGCCACAGGCAATTACACACAACCAGGTGGATCTCCTCTACCATTGCATGAGGCTCTCAAGAAAAATCTCGTAGATCACAGCTCTGTTGTTGTACGTGATCCTGCAAGCGGAACTGAGTACTCCTACAAAGAGGCAGTTTCTCGCCACATCGTGGACCCAGAGCGGGGACTCATTCATAATCAGCAAACTAACGAAGCAACTAGCTTCCCGCAAGCGCTCACCACTGGTCTGATCGCAGGCGCCGGATCCACCTCTCGACCCTCGCATTCGGCTCACAAAATCGTCGAACAGAAGCTACAACTGACGCCGTTCGCTCCTAAACAGGTGGTGCCCTCAGCAAGCAGGAATGGAAGTGACAGACATGAGTATGTTGATCTTGGTGGTGGCAAGCAAGTTATGGTTAAAGTGGTTAGAGGAGAAGGCGGGGTTGAGAAGGGCGAATACGTTGATCCCTCGACTGGTATGAAGTTTACCATCCAGATGCACGGCGATCCTTTCGTCACTGAGACCAAAACGACGGTGAAAAGCACTTCCCAGGTCCAATCAGTGGAACTGGAGCCACACGCTGAATTCGTTGGAATCGATAAAATCAGGGATAAAAGGAATAACCGTACAATGTCACTGGAGGATGCTAAGAGAATGGGCCTTGCACGAGTGGACAAGAAAGGCAAGCAGATGACGAAGACCTATTCTGTGTTCCGATCGAATATCCAGAATGCTCTGAACAGTGGAGTTCTCGATGCTCACATGGAGAAGATTAGCCTCGAAGATGCAATCCGCGCAGGCATTATTGATATTTGGGAGTTGAGCTACAGGAATCCCAAAACGGGCGAGTCTATTCCACTTACGCAAGCTGCTAATATGGGACTTGTTGACGTGACACTTGCCGAAACTCTTCCTAAAGGTGTTTGCAATCCGGCCAACAATGAGCGGATACCAATCAGGAGAGCCATCGAGATGGGCATTATTGATCCTCGTACCGGTGAAGTTCGTGATCCGCACACTCGAAAGCGTTTAACGTGGCTCGATATCATCAAGTCAGTTTATCAGGCTATTACCAGTGATGGTGTGTTCGACCCCACCAAGGGCCAGCGTGTTCCGGTCACCAACGCACTCAATGAAGGACTGATTGATACGAAGACAGGAAAATATCATAACCCTATTACATCAGAAGATATCGAATTGAAAGATGCAGTCGATCGCGGTCTAATTGATAGCGGCACCTACGATGCAATCACGAAGCCATTCTTGCAGGATTACAGGACGAACCGTCAAGTGAATCTTATCGATGCCGTTGAGGCAAAGCTGATCGATCCCAAAAATAAAACCATTCAGCTGTCTCGACAGAGTATTGTTCCAATCGCGAAAGCTGTGGAGGATGGACGGATACCTAGAGAAATCGGCGAGAAACTCCGTCAAATTGACAAATTGAATTTCGCCGAAGCACTAGGAAAGGGACTCATTGATGTCAGCTCGAACATATTCACGGATCCAGACACTGGAAAACAAATCACCATAGCTCAGGCTATTGAACAAGGATATATTGACACAGGCAATGTTGAAGCCATGGAAGGTTCCGACGAGAAGAACTTGTGCAATATCCTCACCTCTGAGGAGTTCGATGAGAACTCTGGCAGGATCCGTGACAAAAAGACCGGTTTGCACCTTACTTTCAAAGATGCCGTCGAACGCGATGTAATCGATGGTGACTCATTGCTTCACGACCTCGAAAGTGGACAAACGCTCACACTTAGGGAAGCTCTCTCTCGTAAGAAAATTGACAACGATGGAAAGTATATCGCTGGAAACCTCAGGATGACATTGAGAGACGCAGTCAAAGGAGGCCTTATTGCGCTCATCGCATCGCCTATGCAAGCTGCCCAAGCAGTTGCTGAAGCGGTGAAACGACGGGATGCCGAAGGATACAAGTTCAAGATCGAGAATGTGGACGGAGCACAGAGGGGAAGCAGGACAAGTGTACCCAAGTTTAGAGAAGAGAGCACTACCATACGATTAACACCTCAAAAACAAGAACCATCACTCACTGTCAAGATGAGACACTCGCAGACCAACATAGGAGATCGCGTCCACAGCATCATCGATGACCCATCCACTCTTGCTGATTTGCAGCACGAGTTCCTCGCGAACTTGGAAGCGAATCGTTTCGACACTGATGAGAAAGTCATTACGAATCCATCCGGAGGTCAACGGCTCTCGGTGCGCGAAGCAGCTGAAACCGGCCTACTTGATGTCCTCACCGGTGAAATAGTTGTTCCAGACACTGGCCGTCGTTATTCTATCCCTAAGGCCGTTCACTTGAACTATGTACAAGGCGACGCTGCGAAGCGATTGATGGAATCATTGAACATGTCTATCGAGGAGGTGAATCTGGCTCAGCAGCAGTCTGGTCTTTCACCAAGTGGTGGTGGCGGAGACGGAAGTTCCTCCACCAGGACATGGACGAAGACGGTGAATTGGCATGGACAACCATCGGAGTTGAGAAAATCAAAAACGGATCCTCTTGCCGCTTACACTACCTACTCATCAAGCAGTACGGAAAGAACCCAGGATGCACCGTCCTGGGCTCGATAATCTGAAGTTTGTCGCAACCATTCCAAGCCATCTTCAAAGTCAACTGTATATCCATGTACTACAATACACCTCAGAGTCTATACAAAAATTGCCGTTGTTATAGAGTTTATAGAGCATCATCATTCACTTCCATAATATGTTGTATACTACCTTCTTCACTTGCAGGATTCACTTTCAAATGTAAATGACCTTTTCAGTGCCTTAAGGGAACGCTCAATCTAGTTCATGTGTACGTATTTTAGTAAACTGATGCGTAGACAGTATTTTGTCACTGCCCATGCCTTGTGTAGTTGCTGTGTACGAAGTCTTATGCATGCATACCCATGGCTTTTCAAATGAAAAATTATTTTTTTATTGTGCTCTGTGGCTGCATGAAAGCGTGGGAGAATGAGGAGCTTTGGCTTTCACGTCGAAATGACATTAATTGATGCATGAGTCCAATGCATGAACCTTGTCCCGTCCGTTACGTAGATACACTGAGGTTGGCTCAATTGACGAGGTCTTGGTATGGACAAAGCCGGTGGTTCTCCATAATTTGGTCTCGTATAAGTGTCGATGGCTTTTAGGAAGAAATCGCACGTGAAGCGGTTTCTCGTCAGAATGAGCTAACCGATATCATTGCGGAACTGAATAAATTCAAAGAGAATATTTTTGCGCAACATCTTAGCTTTGATCTCCGCCCAGAGACTGCTAACTCTGCTCAGGCCGATGTACAGGTTTGTGATTTCCAGTGTTCATATATAATCGCAGATTTCAGTTTTGTAAGAAACAGATCTTATTTGCTCTGAACACATACAGGGAACTCATTCTCTAATAATGGGAATTATAACAGAAATTTTGTTTTTTTTTCGTGTCCCAACGAAAGTCTTGGTACACCTATGAACGACGCTACATTGACGGATACTGTCTAAATACATTGAATGCATAATAAAGATGATGTATGAAAAACCATTCATGCGTGCGTGTTATATTTGCCGTGCTGTATTGTGAAAGCGTACAAAAATGTTTATCACCTAGGAAGGAATCTATGTAGCGTACTGATGATCGTGATCGTAGAGGTACTCAGTTGTAAGACTCCAAAAATTTGGATCAATACTTTCACCGGTTGCAGTTTTGTTGTTCATTCAGCTCTTTCACGCTCTGTGAATTTGCAGAGATAAAAACTGATACCGCGTAAGGCCTAGGAGTGACTAATGATGACATTTACCATATTGATGACAGCGTGGTCGACTAATAGCCTATGATCCTCTTTGAGAAATTTCGTTGTTAACGTTCATATTTCTTTCTAGACTTTAGCTAGAGATCATTGTTGAAACCACTGTCAAGCTTCAACTCTCAGACATCAAAATGTTTGTAATAGCCGTCGTCTATGATGACGCGAATCTTCAGAGAATCTGTAAAAAAGGAAAATCACGATTAGCGAGTTGAGCAAAGCGGTGAAATAGGTAATAAGTGATGCACGTAGGGAAGGTTGCGATCAGTCGCCACATGTCAAGTCTTTAAAAATTAGAGAAAGAAGTAGGTAGGAAGAGAGATGTGGTGCAGAGCAGAGAGGATAAATTGCCAAATGATATGCACTTTGGGGTTTCGAAACTTTATTTCTGGCGATGATCTTCTGCAGATGCTTTGGCCTCGTTATGCAGGCTTTCACTTGCGGAGCGTTCAAAAACAAAGCGGCATATGTTAGAGGTTGTAAAAATGTAGTGTAGTGTAAAATGCTGCTGATAAGTATAATTGTATATATGCACTTTTACCTTTGAACTGGAAAATTGTAGAACCTCAAAGAGTCACTGGATGCATGGAGAGATAAGATCAATCAGCGATTGAAAGCAGTGGACACGCTTTGTTACGAATCTGCCGATTCCTTGTCACCGGAACAATATGCTCTGCTACGAGAGAAAAAGAATCAGCTTGCTGCCGACTACGAGTCTGTGGTTCGCACTGTGGAGGATATTCATGGAAGGTGAACCTTTCCGTCCTTATGCCAGGAATAAGTTCTGCTCCCTGCTGGGCTTCTAAATCGTTCTAACAACTGTTGAGTCAGTGTTTTTTCCTCAACTAGTCGTGCCCCTGCCTCATCTGTTATTCATATGCGCATGCGAATAATCTCGGATTGATCTTTATCTGTCCGTGCGCATACTATTATTGCGAATTCAGTGAATTGACCACTGCACGTTATTTGCAACATACTCTATAGCTGCACCTCTTCTTCAGATTAAACGTTCTCGCTAGTCTTCTTATCGAGTTTTCGTCGAAAACATCGTCTCTGCAATCGTGGATGACTCATCAGACACGGAGAGCAGGCTCCATACGGGAGCGATCAGCTGATCCGCAGTATCTTGCCGAGGTTCGCTTTATCTCAGCACCGTTGTGCAAGTTGTAAACTCATTAGCTTGAGGCTCGTCGCGAGGCGAAAACTTTGTTGGAGGAAGTTGCTCGAGAAGAAAGCAGTCTCAAAGCTATTGGAGCTTTACTTTCTAAAATAGAGCAAGAGGTTGACTCACTTTATGAATCAGTTCCCGAAACAGATACCCGTGGGATACACTCTACAGAAATCAGGAATAGTTTCTATCGCGTTGAGGTATGACTATCATCAGGAGCGGAAAGAACAGGAAAAAATTTTCTTTGTGCTTTAGGATGACTTCTCGGCACTTCAGAAACAGTGTGCTGATCTCTTGCAGTTCCAGAATCGTCTTGCTTCCCTAGGAGGTGAACTCAGTGAGCATTTGAGGTCAGCAGTTTAGTGGTTGCAAATTTTGGTTGTTTGTTATTCTCGGCATTAGTTGATAGTCGCGTGAACTGATTGCGAGAACATTTGGTTTGTTGTCCTCTGACTAAGGATCATACCATTTAGGAAAGTAGATGACTGGTTCTTCAACATTGAAGGAGAGCTCAAAAAAGTTGATCAGGCTCCTAACTTAGCTGTCGAGCAAAAACTTGCCGCTTTAGACGATCTCAATCAGCAGGTAATGATGACTGCCTTGGCTACATATTCTGATAAAAATAATAATAGAAATATTTTCGCAGGTTGCTGATGGACACAAATATCTCGATCAAGTTGATCAAGCTTCCCGACGTCTTCTAAGTGCTTTAGACGGACTGAATGCTCATCCTGATGTAGCCAGTCGTCATGAAGTAGAGGCAGGCGAAAGGAAGCGAAGGTCAAACTTTTATCACCTCTATATTTTTTTCATACTAAGCAAACACGGTTTTTTCAGACATGAAAATCTATTGGATCGCATCCAGGAAGCGCTGAATCACGCAACTGCTCAGAAGGCCGCCAGTGAAGGCGTCCGTGATGCTGTGCTTGCGCTGTTCCCGTGGCTGGATGAGTTTGAAAGACGAGCTGGAACGTCCAGAGATATACCTCTGGTGGAGGATGGGCTTAACGAACTGGTATAACCGTTGACGCCAAATGAAATCACATTTTTCGGAAGTTTAGATGCTTTAGAAGCGAGAGGTGCAGCTTCTACAAATGGATCTCGGTAGTCGCATCGCACTTACCAAAGATCTTGAAGAAGATCTAAGCAAATTGTCTGCTTCCAATCCTCCAGAATGGAAAGATGCAGTCGAGGACAAGCTCAAGGAAGCAGTTCAGCGTCTGCAGAGGAACAGCAGCAATCTCAGGGTGTGTTAATAGCTTATACATAGTGTAGCGAGTATGTAAGGTCATCTCAACACATTATTCGGATTCAGGGCTTTCGGGACAATGTGAACGATGCGCTTGAAGGAGTTTTGAAGCTTGAATCGAACGGAACTTCGATAAATCGCTCTTGCGATTCACTTTCGTCGAATCTGAAAGCGACGAATGCTCGCGATTTGCCTCGATTGCAGGAAGTTGCTGCAGAGCTAAATGAATTGAAATCACAGCTATTGGATATGCAAAGAACTGCTGAAAACGTTAAACAAATACCGAATGTAACGGGAACAGAAGCAGTCGACATTTACGTAAGTCAACATTCCGTTAACCTCCACTTTCTGTTATTGTCTGTGCATGATCTAGGTTGATGGAATAAGGAATAAAGTTATCAGTCTGGATGAGGAACTCCAAGCCAAACATTCGCAGCAGGCTCAAGTGGGACAACTGGAAAATGAGTTTGAGAATGTCAAGCAGAGGTAAGAGTTTGAGTAGAATATTCATTGCTGAACTAATCTCCATTACTGCGTCTCCAGGTTGAATGATTGGTTAGACGAATTTGACAAGCAAATCGATGCCCTCGAACCTATCTCCATCCATCGCGAAAAGCTTCAAGCACAAAAGGAGCAAATGCAGTATTTGATACAAAGGCATAAAGAAGGTGGAGAAATAGTTTATGGGAAATGCTTCAAGCATCCGTCTAAATGAAACTCTTAAGGGCTAGCGCTAGTAGAAGAACTTGATTCCGCTGCGACGCGCCTTAGCGCCGCAGAAGAGAGCAGTTATGCGGGAAATAGGATGAGTGCTATCCCTAGAATTGCCATGGATCTTTTGACGAGGTATTTCTCTTGTAAATTATGGAAATCTCACAGTTCTTATATATTTAGGTATAATGCTCAAGCAGATGCGTTAAAAAGGCGTGCAGAAAAATTGGATGCGGCTGGACATAAGGCAGCTGAATTACATGCTGCAGAGGAGGAACTGAGTTCTTGGATTAAAGCTCAGAACAAGAATGTGGTAGGTTAGAATAAAAATCGACCTTATTCTCATAATTACTCCGTTAAGTCTGAATGCGGTGTGCCTACCACAATGGATGCTGTTCAGTCCCTTCAAACCACCTTAGACCGACTAACCAAGAGCAAGAAAGCAGAGCAACGACGACTCGACGACGTAAGTGTGATAATCAAGTTGTATCAACTTCGCGTTTCATCTTGACGTTGTCCATTTATCTTTATAAACCCGCAGCCTTACAATCATTGCATCTCTGTTAGTTTCTCGCACATACTTCACTCGTCGAAATGGAAGGAAACTGACTGGTAGCACTAAGTGCGCGAATTGATTTATGCGCATTGACTCAAGCTCTAATTGTAGGTAGAACTCATAAATTCGCTTTGGAGAAAATCTGTGATTTTCCGACTATATCTTGACAAATGGACTAATGGATTTTTACATATCCTCGTACATCTTATATATAAAGCTGAATGTCTGTTTGTCTGTCTGTCTGTATGTCTGTCTGTCTGTATGTGTGTACGTATGTTCCGAATAGAAAATTTCATTTCTGAACCGATCCGGACCAAACTTGGCACACATACACTACGGGCCCCGGCGGGTGTCATAGGCTACTTTTCGTATCGATCGATATCGATTTTATCGATTTTTTGCAAAAATTGAGCTAGGGGGCTGGGATTTGGCACAGGGGGGTAATCGAGCATGCTGATTACGAATACAATATTAGTTTTTAAAATCGTGCATTACTTTTATCGATTTTATCGATTTTTTGCAAAGTTCGAGCTACGGGACTGGGATTTGGCACAGGGGGGTAATCGAGCATGCTGATCACCCTCGATTACACCTCCCTGCCAAATTCCAGCTCCCTAGCTCAATTTTTGCAAAAAATCGATAAAATCGATATCGATCGATACGAAAAGTAGCCTATGACACCCGCCGGGGCCCGAAGTGTATGTGTTCCAAGTTTGGTTCGGATCGGTTAAGAAATGGAGTTTTCTATTCGGAACATACGGCGGAGCCGGGTATGCCAGCTAGTTGCACATAAGCACACACGTCAGCCATCTAGTGGTGACAGGGCTCGGCACGAGCTGGCACCGGGGATTTTCAAAAAACGAAGTCCCCCTTAACTTTCGCTAAGTTTTCCGAAGTCCCCTGACCTTAAACCCTAATAAAAAACCCCCAAAAAACAACGTCGACTAAAAAAGCGTCGCAATTTGTCGACACGATATCCCCTTTGCTTTTTGTCCCAGAAACGATATCCTGCTTGCTCCGTGCCAGCTGATGCCAGGCCCTGAGTGGTGACAGCTCTTTTCTGTTGAGTCTTCCTACATTCTCTGTTGCCCAACTCAGCTGTTTCTTAATGTTTCTACTCGCTGTTCAAATGTTGCCATGTACTTGAGGTAGCATCATCATTCCTGACATACTATGTTTAGATTCGTCTCCGGGCACGAGAATTAGCTGGTGACGCCTCTCTACCTGGTGAAGCTCAACAAGTGCTCGATCGCAGCAAAGCTCTTTCTGATGAGTGGGATCAGCTTAGCGACAACATTGATGGTATACGAATTTATGAAATGTTGAAATACTTGCAAAAATTTTCCGCTTTAGCGATGCGTGATAGAGCTAGTCAAGCCGAAAAATGGGTAGACGGCTATACGGGCATCGAAAAATGGTTGAGTGCTAAGCGTCGTATGCTAGCTGCAGTAGGAGTGGCATCTACAGATTCGGCAGTCGCAAGCAGTCAATTAGGACAGATCCAGGTAGACACGGTCTGGCTGGTTTATAGTGTAAGCACAAGGAGCACGGAAGTTTTAGATGATCAGAGCTGAATTGGAAAGCGAACGAGCAACCTGGGCGAAACTCAACGATGTCGCACAAAGGCTATCTTCCGACTCGTCTGATAGTGCTGTGTCATTTGCGGTAAGGGACTAACCTTTTGATTTTGACAGATAATCATTTTCTACTGCACTACTACCAAAGTAGAGCGAACGTTTTTTCACCATTCTTGGTTCTTTGCTAATTTTAGAGTCTTATAGATGATCGATCTCAACTCCCGATGGGATGATTTGGAAAAGGAACTGTCTGACAGAGAACAAAATATTTTGCAGGCGTCGAGTCTAGGAGCAGAAATCAAGGCCCTTCAGAAGGAAATCACGTTCGTTGCTTTTTGATACATAAATTCGCTAGACACCAATCTCACATCGCATGTCTTAGGAATGATCTCAGCGATTTGGAATCAGAAATCGACAGATATAGTGGTATGATGCCTTCTGAGGTGGAAAGAAAACTGCATGTAAGCAGTGTTTTTATTTCTTATTTTTTCTGTGCATTCCGAGAGTCTTGAGTTTTAGGAACTGTCTGCCATAAAGTCGCAGCTAGAGGGATTGCATTGCCAGATGGAACACATGAATGATGTCATAAACTTTTCCAAAATAGAATTTGATCCTGTAAATAAGGGCGATCTAGACGATCAGATGCATGCATTGAGAAAAAGGATGGAAGAAGCAAGTTTCTTATACCTCTTCGTGCTTCTCTGCGATCATTGATGACATTTAGATGAATAAAAGACTTGATAATCTCAAAAGCTTGGCACTGTCTTCGAGGAGCGAAGGAGATGAAATAGAAAAGAAGCTGGAGGGATTGCTGGATCTCGTCCTGAATGCAAAATCCGAGATTGATCAGGTTTGCAGTTTGTCTCGGCTTTTACTTGGGAAAAGCCCTTCAGTTTTGTTTGCCATACTCTCCGCTATACAACCCAGTTACTATGTTTATAGGCTGCTGCATCAAAGGCGCATTATCTTTGGGCGCGAACGCGGTTGCATTAGCCGCAGGGTGCATTAGGCGCAAGATTTACAATGGTGAAGATACGTGCGCGCAGCGTTCGCGCTTGCTCAACTAATACCGCTTCTGCGCCTTTGTCATGCAGCAAATTTTATGTTGGTCGGCTAGTGTACCTCAGAATTTTTATAGTTGCTAATTAATCGTATTTTTAGTGCCCAATTTTTATTTCTGAGTGGTGTATGTGACGTCAGTGCTAATTGCGTAGCCTTTTTTCTATTTTTTATATTAATGGCTTGAAAATTCGTCTACTCTAGGAGTCGTTTTCAGTGTTTGACGGATGTCTTTCTTCATCTCTTCTACACATTTTGCCAATATTAGGCAGTTATGAAAGTGAACAATCTGAAAACCTTGCCAAATAAGAATTCGGGTGACTCAAGCGCATAATCTACATGTAGCTAATCAATGAGAAACTCCTACGCTAAATCTCACAAGACAGCATATAGAGATCGCGGGTTCAGAAAACCCGTACAAAAGTGCAGCAAACAGTTTTAGTGTAACACTTTTTAGGCTGCACCGATATCTGCTGAGCCATATCGTCTTCATGGACAGGCGGAATCGAACAATGCTCTTTTGGCTAAGATCGCAGACGTAGAAGGCGATTTTCCATATATTCGGTTAGTTTGCAGTAACGGATCTTCAATATGAAGTCAATCATTGGATGTCTAGAGCAGTAGTTACTGAACGTTTGAAAAAAGCTCCTGATGCGGACCTGCAGTCGAAGCTTCAACAACTTTCATCAACTTGGAATCCAACTGTTGCTGCTGTTAAGGAGAGAAGCGCTACTATAGCAAAGGTTTGCAGTTCATTTGACCGAACCCTTTCAGTGTTACAACAGATATGGTCTTTGACAATTTTTTGCTCAACCAGAGAAAGGAGTGAATGTATGATACTGTATGATGTAACAAAACCTTTGAGAAATTTCTCTTACTTACTGTATCCACTGCACAAGTAAACACAAAAGGATAGTGTACCATTGCTTTAACATGACTCCGGGAAAAGTAATCGATTTTTTATTGTCTGTCTTCATTTTTGAAGTTGATAAATTTTAGACTGCCTCAAACATTCATATCTCTAAAGAAAAAGACTGTGCTTGTACTTCTTTGCTCAGAGTATCGTGGTAAAACCGAAGTAGTTTATTGTTGATCGCTTTCCAGCACCTTTTCAACACTAAGGCATCGTTTTCCTGACGACATTTTAACGCATTATTATTTAGTCTGTGGCGTTTGCAGAAAACGGTAATTTTTGATTCCAAGCACGCTCTGCATGTTGATCTTGATTTGAGAGTAGCTTTAACTTAGTATCGAACTAAGCAACTTTTCCGTATGCTGCAGGGTGTGTAGTAGTGAGAAGTATGAGATTGGAGCCACTTTTATTCCCCACTCATGTTATGAGAATGGATTGGCCGTGTGCACCCATTTATCTATGGCTTGCAAATTGCAGGTGCTTGATCTGATCCAGCAATTTGGCGAGCTTGAGAATTCTATTCGTGACAGTTTGAAGGAGGATGAGGACAAGGTAAACATTCATAATTGCACTCTGCACTGTTCATCACTCTATGATTTCAGTTCGCCTCTGCCATAGCAGAAGATGACAATGCAGAGATTCACAGCAAGTTGAAGTTGATGGAGGATTCCACTAACAGAAGAATCGCCGATGCCGTCACTCTTTCAGGTGTTTGCAAATGTCCTTGGTTTCTTTGTTAGGCTTGTCTATCCGAAAATGTTTTATGCTTGCGAAATGCTCTCCTTTTTCAGCTCTGGCCTCTCGCATAATCGCTTCCGCTCCTGGTCCCGATGCAAACAAATTTGTGCGTAGTGCAGAGAACTTTACGAATGACTGTAATAATCTTTCCAAAAAAATCAACACCGCTATCGAAGCTTCACAGCGTAAGGTATGTATGATTAAAAAATCGAAAATTTTCGAACCGAGGCAGAATATTTTCAGCCGTTGACCTAGCTTTCTCATAATAGTGAGGTTACGTGCTATGCGCAATAGAAATCAAGGTTGCTTGTCGATCGCGACGGTCGTCATGCATCTCATTCAGCATTTAGCTACAGTGCTTTGCATAGCTTACATCGAATTTGTTCGTCGCATTTTTTGTTTGCGTTTTTGCGTATTTCAAGGTTGACGCCACACTTCTGCCTTCTCGCATTTGCCGCCAAAATCTCAATTCGTTTCAGCTGGATCTTGGCGAAAAGTTCCATCGTCTTGTCGATGAAGCGCGTCAGGTAGCCAAAGAAGCAAGACGCGCTCTTGATTCAGGAAGGGGCGAACTCAGTGGCCCCGAGAAAGTAGCTGCGCGTAAGTTACGATATTTTGAAGCTTTCCTTCTCTCATAGTCTCTCTGTAGTATTGGCCGAAATCAACAGCTTTTGGAGTCGCTCCCAACGCGATTTGATTACCTGGAACGACGAATTGAAGAAGGTATCCGTTTGAGTTGTTGTAGCCTGGAAACACCGAAATGTCTTTGTCAGAGCATCAGTCCGCAAAAAGCTGCAGAAAACGATGGAGCCTTGGAAGAACTCACTGAGGAATTTGCTGCACTTAGTAGCCAGCTGCAGGAACTTTTGGCTACATTGGGCGCAAAGAAGGAGGACATGGAAAGGTTGTGCGAAAGGAGCAGCCAAATCAAAAATGACACCAATGCTTTGTTCATGGTTGGTGATACTTCATATGTGAATTTTTCTGCGAGAGGGAGACTGTCTAGGAAGTAAGCGATATGGACCCGATAGCACGAAGCACCGGTGAACTTGATGCTCAACGGAAACAGGTGTTCGCATTAGAGGGACAGCTCGATACCATGGAAGCGGATATGGAGAAAGTTATGAGCGCTTGGGATGATGCTTTATCAAATGGCAGCGTTAACCAAACGCAATGGGCTGCTAATCGCGCTACAGCTAGCGATGCTGCAAAGGTATGTTCGGGCAGATGGAGCAGTTCTGTCTGTTAAATTATACATCAGATAAAGAAAAAGACGTCTTGATTACTTAAAAAAATTTTCTTTGAGTATGCTGCGCTAATTCGTTTTTCTTTTACAAATTATTGTCATGAAGAAACAATCTCGGAATCATTTCTGACCATGTTTAGCTCATCACAAAGGCTAAGAAGAAATTGACAGAAAGAGCAAAGAAGATCGACCAGACTGCCGTAGAATTGGAAGGTGTTCAGAAGTATGTTTTGATCTTTTTATTTCTCATTTAGCTTTTCCATGATCTCATCATAGGAATGCTGCTGAAATTATGCGAGAACTTGATGCCGCTTGTGAGTCAGAGCTTCTGTCATCCGCACTCAAGGTTGGTGAACCTGGAACGCAAGCAGAGAATTTGAAAGCGCTGAAGGAATCTCTGAAGAATACTGGGAAACGAGTAAGCGCTGTTTTTTGGATCTGGAGTAGTTTCATCACCTTGACTGTGCGATCCAGGTGGACGACTTCGTTTCTGATTGCAAGTTACTCATCCGCACAGCTGGGACTGAAACTGATACTACAGACTTGGTTTGTTCCCATTTATTTTATTTTTGAAGTAAAGAGTGCATGTTTTCGTCTCAGGATAAAACCTTGCAAAACGTTTGTGACAAATGGTCGGAAGTCTCTACTTCTCTCGCTTCGAAAGAAAGAGAGGTGGATGCGGCTGTGCAACAGCTTGGACGGTAGGCAAACGCTCATTGAAAATTCATATTGTATAGAATTACCTTTTCAGCTATGAGGATGCCTACAAAGGACTTCTGAATTGGCTGGAAGAAACAGAAGAGATGATGGAGAATCAGAAACCTCCCGCCGCTGATGCTAAGGTAACCTGGTCTTATCATTTCACCTGTAATTACTAATAAGTTTGGTTGTAAGGTAGCCAAGGCCCAGATGCATGCCTATGATGTTCTCATGAAGCATATTGAAGACAAGGACTTGAGGTCAGAAGAGGACTATAGATGTAGTCTCCGCAATAACATCCTATTTTAGTGTGAAAGGCTTCTCCACTTTGATTGCAAAATTGATCTCTATGACCACTGTTGAAGAAGAAGTGAAGTCGTTAAAACAACGTGATGAGGAAATACAAAAGAGGCATGCCTGCTCTTTTTTTCTGTCGAAATAAATCTGCTGCATTTCATCTTTTTGCAGGTATAATGATCTCGTTGACGCCGCACACGATCGTCAACATCGTCTCATGGAAGCAGTTGACTTGGCAGAACGCCTTTCAGAGGGAATTGTGCCCCTAGAAGCATGGCTACACCAGGTCGGTTGTTGCTAATATTTTGGAGTCAGTAAACCACTGACTTGGAAGGGTGGACATCTGTAAGAAAGGGTTTGAGTCGGCACTAAACAGTCACTTAGCTGAAGTAAAATACCGAGAAAGTGTGTGAAGTAAGTCTTGTTTATAAATACTACTTCCAAATAAAAGAGAATTTTGAGAAGAAAATATGGAACATTTTCATTGTCGAATTTTGAAAAGCAGTTTGGGCAACATAGAGGAGAAGTGCAGTTCTTTCATTTGGAAAATGTTAAAGGCACTTCACTTAGCTGAAGTAAAATACCGGGAAAATTGGGAACTGCGAGCCTTCCACACCTACATGGCCTTCTAGACGTGCCGAGTCCATTGTGTACTCGAAAAGTCATACAAGTGCTTTGTTTTATTATCGTGGAGATAGCCGGAGGAGATGGGCGAGGGATTCCCGCCATAAACAGCGACTGCTTGCAGGAGACTGTAATTCCACCCATTTTGGCGGTAATTGGCTGATCGGCTCGCAGCCAACTGCGATGTTGGCGGAATCCCTCGCCCATCCACTCTAGCTATCTCCATGGTAGGAAAACGCCATAAAAAGCACCTTTTTGACGTTTCAAACACAGCACTGGACTGAGCGCATACAGAAGGCCATGGAGGTGTGGAAAGCTCGCAGTCGCAATTTTCCTGAGCCACTATTTTTAAAGGAATGTTCTCTTCGCAAGCGAAGCGTAAGCTATTTATATCTATGATTTTTATGACTAACACTTTGTAAACTTTGAGTAAACTGCGCAGTACTACAAGGCCTCCAAAAGCAGTGCTGTAAGGTGAAGAAACCCAAACCCATGACTAGCTTGATGGTACCAGCACCTCTATAGAACTAATGATAGAGTCTTGTGCATTTTCGAGTTGATAGCGTATTATTAATCTTTGCGAATTAGCCGCTTTCTGTTTACTAACCGATAGAGCTTCTTGCATTGTGTCCGTGTGCAACTTACGTCAGTTTTCCTCCGTTACCGAATTCAGGCTTTATGAATTTTAAAGTTTGCAAAAATCGCACTTTTTTGCCCTCTTTAAACAAAATAGAGCTTCCGCGCATAAAACGTTTGAATCTTTGAACCAAACTTTTTCAGATTCCCAAATTTTTACCTAGCGATGTAAAGAGTTTTCAAACGCACATGGTGATAGTGGTTTTTGTTCTTGATCGGCAAACTGTGCCGTAACTTTCTGATCACTGCGTAGAACCGACTGATGACTTGATTTCGCATTTCACACTCTCAGCTGCGGTACAATAAGAGAATTAGTGCAATTAATGAAGTAAACTAACCAACTGCTGTCTCTCTTATACCTTGTTTTTCTAAGGTGGGAAACTTCAAGGGTTACATATTGGATCAAAACGCAAGAAAGATATTGGTACAGTAGTCATTGAACAGTTTCTGATATTTTACTACTTACTGAAGTCCCTTCCAGATTTATAAGCTTACTGTTTTTTTTCAAGCTAGGTCCCACTTATACATCTTATCAACTCACTTGTTCAGGCGGAGAAACGTCTGAATGCACTGGGGAAAATTCCGGCAAATGTGGAAAAGATGGAAGAGCAGTTGCGAGAACAGCGCGATCTCGATTTAGAAGTCTATCAGAAAGGCGAAGAAGTCGATAGAGTTCTTGCTGTAAGTGCATATAGTGCATAGTGCAAGGCATAATTTTTCTTCCACTGCATCTACGCTTCCGCAGGATTTCCGTTTCACGGAATGGCGCACTCCTTGGGCTGATTTTGTTACAATTTTTTCTAAGCCTCTTATATTCTCTTGAAGCTAACATTTGTGCTGTGTGACCAAGATGTTGCTGGCTCCAGATCGTACCCATGCTTTGCGCTGTGGTTAGTGTCGAAGACGCGAACAGCCTTGAAGCACAAGCGAACCAAATCGCTAGCCGATACGAGAATCTTGCGCATCGTGTGAGACTCACCAAGGATCTTCTGAATGAAATGGCTCTCACCGTCAATGATTTGTTCGCGGTCAGCACTCTCCAAACACCTTACATTTCCGTTTTCTTATTCTTAAGTCTGCGCTTGTTTTTCAGGATGTCGATGGGCTGGAATCATGGCTTACTGAAATGGAACAAAGAATGGAGACAATCAGCGAAATAGCAATTGCACCTGATGATTTGAATGAGCAGAGCAACATAGTGGGGGTGAGCGTCGCTGTGTATCCCAGGAGTTTGTCTCACTTTTTTCTCTCTAAGGATCTCGTCACTGCTGTTACTGAACGAGATGAGCAAATCTCAGCGGTCCTCGGAGTTGGTCGACAGTTATGCATGCAGGCTTCCGGTGATGAAGCTATAGCATTGCAGTATCGTGTAGAGCAAGTAAAGAAAAGGTATGAACTTTCCAAGCGTCTTCAAAATCAGTCTGTCAGTCATCATCCGTTTGCGCATATATCACTCTGGGTATCGCATTCGTTTTCTTACAGATATGCTGACATAATGCAAGTAGCTGACGAGAAGCTAGCATTACTAGCAAAGGCAATTCCGCTTTCTGAACGTTTCCATGAAGGTTTTGAAGCAGTTATGGAATGGGTAGAAGCGATGGAAGAGGACTTGGTCCAAATTGATAGCACCGATTTGGAAACACAAACACAGGTAAAACACATCTTTCAGAAGATTAATGAGAGAGTACACTAGGTGTCGTGTTGTAACCATGCAGTGGCAGCATGCTAGATTTGCAAGAAAAGCGAATTTTGCTAAAGGGTTTTCTCGCTTCCGGCACCGTGTTCTGCCTCCATACCTAAGCCTAGTTGGGCGGCTGTTATCCTAACGACTAGAATTATAAGACTCCCTGTTTTGAACATGGATTGCCTTCAAGGGCTTGAGTGTCACATGATGTCTACTGGCTACACGACTATTCAGCTGGTATTCACGATGGAAGAAGGAGTTAGCCATTGGCGTCCTGAAGTGGATGATTTGGTAGCGGTATCATCGCAACTGCAAGCGTTGAGCAGTCCTGATCAGGCCGAGGAATTATTCCAGAGTACTACTGAAATGAATCGCCGAGTCAACCAAATAGCTGAGAAGGTGTAGTTTTTTCAAATGTTTGAGGGATGTAGATTAAGCTTCTAGTTAATAGGTGGCCCGTCGCGCTGAACGTCTGGACGTGGCAGATCGTCAAAGCCGAGCGGTATTTGATGAGCTGAACTTCCTTCTGGAATGGTTCGCTGACGCTCGTGATCGTGTCGCTGCAGCTGGTCCACCTTCCATTGATCCTGAATTTGCTCGGACTCAATTACGGAATCAACTGGTTATGAATGACGATGTCACTCTCAACAAGGTGCGCACGAGCGAGTTGCAGACTTTTCGTAAAATAAAGATTTGTTTAGACTCGTCTTCGTGAGGTTACGGTAGACATCAAAAAAATTTGTCGTGAGTTAAGCGGAGATGGAGGAGAGGCGGTTACAGCATTGATAGAACAGTGTGATCAAGCCAAAGATTTGGTGGATGAGGTAAGTGCGAAGACAATGTTCTCTTCCATTTTGTATCCATCCAGGTCACCAAGCTCTGCATGGATCGCACGGAAGTGCTCGAAAGAGCTCTGGCACTGTCTCAACACTTGGCAATCGAATTTGATCGCCTTAGTACATGGCTCGATCAAGTTGACGACGAGTTGCGATCAGCTCCTGAACTTACAACGGTCACTCCGTTGCCTCAGCTAAGACAGCAACGAGAACACAATGCTGTAAGTTTACTATCACTCCTCTATGGAATGCAAACGTCTTGGCTACAGGAACTTGCCGCGGGAATCTTGGCATATGTGCCGATTGTGGAACAATTCCGAAGCGACGTCAGCGCTTTACAAGAGATTTGCGTGCACGAAGATGGCGTAAAACTAGGGGAATTAGCTGATGAGATCGTCGCAAAGTTGGTTTTAAAACTTGATAGCAAACTGGCAATAATTCTCTTTTCATCTCCCTTTTCTGAATGTCTTAATTCAGATATAAGGAAATGCGTGCTGCTATAGAGGCTCGTGGTCAAGCACTCGACAGTATTGTTGATGCGACTAGTGGCATTGGTGAACGTCTGGACAACTTTGCGGAGACTCTCCGTGGAGCTTCCGACCGATTACGCCAAAATTACTCGATCTCCTCTGACCCCACACTGTTGAAAACTCAAATTGCTGAGAATCATGCGATCAAAGAAGGCCTTCGCGCAAAGCAATCGGCATATACTGCTCTTAAAGAAAGCGCTGCTGAGTTATTAGCATCACTTCCACCAGGTAATAAGTTTCGTCCAAATTGAGTAAGAGTAACAAGTTATTCTCTGCCTTTTAGACGATCCTGCTAGAGATGAAATCATTGGGAAACTCAAGCGGCTATCAGAATTATGGGGCAGCATAGAGCAAGAAGCAGAAGATAGGGGCGACTTCCTAGAGTCGATCTTGGAAAAGGCCAGACATTTCTGGCATGAGCTGGATGAATGCCAAAAAGCGGTAAGCATCTGCTTCTGTAAGTTCATCTGCATACTGAGAGGTTTAGATTGATGATATCCGCATACGTTTGGAATCGGTTGAACCCGCTGCCGGTCAGCCGGAGCAGCTACAGCTGCAACAGGCTGAAATGAAGAGTGTGGCGAGTAATATGGCAAGCACCGAAAGCAAACTGATCGAGCTTCGTGAGGTAGGTAATTCCTAAACTCGCGCTTTTCTCCACTGAGAGACTGGTATTAGGCGAGTGCGGCATTGTCGGGTATCATACCATCTGAGGAACAAACAGTGATAACTGCTCAAGTGGATGCTGTGCAAGATGGATGGGCCACAATCACCAAACTCTTTGCCGACAAAAATCGGTAGATTTTTCAGGGTTAAGATTTTCCCGTTCCTAGTTTCATACAATCGTCATTGAAGGGATCTCGTTGCTGCCATGGAAGACGCCATGGTATTCCACACGGACATGGCAAGTCTTCTTGCCTGGCTTGATCATGCTGAAGCTCGACTCGGAAAATTGCCACCTGTTGAGGAGCTAAAAGTAGTGTTATTCACGTTTTTTGCTGCTAATGCTTACCAATATCTTATATCCAAGATCGATGAGATACCACGTCTTCTTGAGGAGCTGCAAATGTTCAAGGATGAGATGGATAAGCAAGCTGTGCTGAAGGTAAAACTCTATCAGAAGCCAAACCGAATATTTTGCAACTTTTTGATATTCAGGAACAACTTACATATACAGCGAGTCAAATCGCTAGTGGTGCACCGGCTCATCAATCGGCTGCTATCCGGCAACCGGTTAACAGACTCAATCTGCGATGGTCACAGCTATATGCTGCGCTTTGTGACAGAGAAAACAGGGTAATTGCCTGAAACTATGATGAACTTTAGCTAAAACTGAATGTTTGAAGGTGGAGCGTATGTTGTTGCAAATGGGACGATTGTCGGAAGCTGCTGATCAGCTGATCGTCTGGATGAGAAAGACTCGAGGAACTCTGGATGAGCTTTCTGTGGCTGCGCCAACTCTTCGTCAGTTGGAAATCCAGAGATGCCAACTTATTGTTGTGTCAAATGATGTACAAGCTCATGAGGCCAGGTTAGTATGAGACAAATACAAGAAGTTAAGCGCGAAGGCCGAAAATATCTGGATAGCTCATTCGGGGGGGGGGGGGGGAAGGGAAGAGAGCATACCTTCGATAGTCCAGAGACAGGGCGTCAAAAGTGAAGGTTGTTTGAACATCTGACGTCATGAATAGTGAAGGTTGTTTAAAGAAGATCAGAGAAAAGAATATGACGTAAAACAGATAGAAAAAGCAAAACAAAGTGCTGAAAACCGGATAAAAACGCTGCAATGGGATTTGGAATCTTTCATTTGGCGGCTTTTCAATGTGCAAATTTCGCTTCAGGACCAGCAATTCGCAACACGGGGTTTTGATTTTTGATGCGTCCTTTAAATTTTTACCCCCGCATTGACGTTTCTGTTTCCTGGGACGTTGTCTGGATTGTTGCGCTTATTGTTCTGAGCAACAATCGCCCGAGCTGGAAAAAAATCGCTGCGAAAGCACTGAAACAGAACAAGGTAAAGAAAAACGCACTTTTTACGATTTTTCGCAAAAAGTTCCACCATAATCGAAGAGATAAGGGCTGGGTGGTTGTCTGCATTACGGACAGAAGCAAGATCTATAGAATGCACGAAAAAACCGCGTGAAAAGAGTTAAACTGGGAGAAAAACAAGAGATTTTCGAAAACAAAGTTTTTGCCGGATTTCTCGACCAAATCAAAAGATATGGTTTTGGGACGTTGTCAGCGTAAAAATAGAGATCAAGAGCTTCAAAATGATATATAGCTTGTTAAAATTGGGTTCGAAACAGCGAAGAAAAGGGTACCAGAGCCAAATGCCCCGCGCCCCGCGTTTGGGGTAGCGAGGTAGCGCGCAGCGTGCGGAGACGCAGACGAGCAGCGGAGACAGACCAGAGCCGACGGGGCATTTGGCTCTGATAGTAGATCTCCGCGGTGTCTCAACGAAACCCTGCAACATTATATATCATTCTGATCGTCATAACACGGCGACGAGAACTGACAACGTCCCAAGCTTTGAAAATCACTCATTAACGAGGTAAACTGGCGTTTTCGTGCGCGACTCTCTGCGCAAATTCAAGCGCGGTTTCTCGTTTTTATTTAACTCCAATAGCTTTTCTAAACTGCTGAAACTCGATTGTGATCAAAAAAGATGTTAACTGAGAAAGATTGTCCTGAATTTTGGTGAAAATTTCATAGAAACCTTCTTTTTAACGTAAAAAAGGCCATGAAAACGCAAATTCTCGGTTTCGCTGAGATAACTTAGAAATATTATCTCCTATAATTTCTTCATTAACATTCGTTCCGATGCAGTCAGGATAATAACATCCAGGGCGAAGCCCCGGATGACTTCTGTTTTTTTTTCAGGTGAAGGTTGTGTTCCCTCATAGCCCTCAAAGTGAAGGTTACCAGAGTACGTGGCTCTATGTATCGAGGGTATGGAAGAGAGAGAGAGAAAGACGAACTTTACTTTCTATCTTTGGAGCTCCTCCGCTGAATACTGATCCTCGACATGCCATGGCATCGCAAAAAGATCAGGAGTTCGTTCCACTGCCCTCAGGAAAAGTTTGAGAGTTTGGCGCTTAATCATAAAACTAAGTGCTGGAGTATGCGTTCAAAATGGGAGACGGCACTTCTGTACCGCTAGCCCTAGCAGCCTAATTACTGCGCGCCTCTGATTGGTCGGCGCTACCGTGAGAGAGCTACGCTGTCGTTGGAGACGCAGGCACTCTCAAATTGGCCGAGTTAGGTAAAAGCACTTTTTTAAAGAGAAGAATCAAAGAAGAACTTGGATTCTAACGTGGGAATCAGATTTAGCACGAGGGTGGCATACATAGATTTTCAGCTTACATGTGCAAATTTTGCGGTGGTTTGTGGAACTGCGACGAGGAAATTACGAGATAGAGAAGATAGAAAAAAATTTCAATCTTCCCCAATTTTGTCTTCTTATAAAACATCGACACTATTATCGACCGAAACTGTGCACTCGCTTGCTTTGAAATACCCCGAAATGTTTAAAAACTCTGTTAGATTATAAAAAAGGCAAAGTGATTACTGCCGCTCTGGGGCAGGGTAATTAGCGCTAGGACGGAGCGGTTCAGAAGGGCATACACCCGTTCAAAATGCTTAGTATCAATTCTCAAATGGCATCCCATAATATTGCGTTTCACCCGATTGGAAATCCTGGGTGCGCCGCGTAAGGGTCATATTCTCAACAATGAGTCGGCTGACTGGCGCATTAACGAAAAGAATATGTGTAAGTAGCTATGAACTCTAACACTAGTCATCTGTTGCAGCGCGAAAAACTACAGCTGCAGATTTTCAACTATTTTTGAAGGCGCTGCTGCAAACTTTTCGTATCATAAAGCTGTTTTTTGTTGCGCACTATTCCTCATCTGGTGACGGTTTAGAAGATGAAAGTGCGTGTCAGGATGCATCAAATATCAGCAATTAAAAACTGGCCAAGCGGTTGGGTCTTTTGTCGATAAAGGCGCATATCCTTACATGCGCCTACAAGGTATACATGCTTCATCACCCTTATAAGCAAGAACAGAGTTTTTGCAACATTCGTACCTTATTCGCTGTTATACGCGTGACGAAAGTCCTACTGTAGCATTGTAGGGAAATGCGAACTAGAAATGTATTGATATTTTATATGGTGTAGTAGAGTTATGTAACAAAAGTTAAGACGTCGCGACGACGGGACGGTAAATAAATAATTTATGGGGTTAAATTTCATAGGGAGTATATTCGATATCTCAGTAAGCCTCCATATCTGCGTCAGTCGGTATTTATCTAGCTAATGAAAATTCCTTTTACATGTCCGAGAGAGTACGTACAGAAAAATCACCTAAACATGCGTTCTGAGCATCTTAGTAGAGTAATAACCAACTTGAGTCCTTCTAGTCATTTAGTAAAGAGATACTCATCGTCTGGTAGGTACCTCATGAGCAACATGTGCCTACAGCTAATAGTTGTACACTCAGCAAAACTGAAGTTCTCACGATCCTTTATCCACCAAAGTGTATCGACACCGATTAGCCAAACTTCTAATCATAAAAAATTAGTAAAGCTGCCGCAGCGTAAGCTTAAGTAAATATCAAAAACATTGGAGGTAGGTTAGGGAACAGATCGTATCAAATGCGAAATGGATAGCTTTTTGGTTTTAGTTCGGTGACATTTGATCTAACAATAGGATGCATAGAATCGCAGAGTTCGGACAAACGATTTGGTTCATGTTCGATAGTTCAAGGATGCTCGAAAAGTGTTGATGCAACGAGTTGAAAATGAAGCTGCAAACGGAATGTTGAAAGGTTTTTGCTCCAAGATCACCGTTGCATGCTTTCCTACCTCTGTACCCGTAAATGCCTCGCTCTTGAGGACCTGGAGCAAATAGGACCATGAAAGTAATTAGCGGCTGTTTTTGTTGTTAACTAATATGCAGAGACATAGGCAAAATCTGGATTATGCATTTTGACACATATCCATCTGACTCCACTGCATATGAATCTACAGAAATTTGAGATTTACACTTTTTCGGTACCAAAAAAGCTAAGATCTCAAGTTGCGGTAGCTTTTTTCTCTTATTTTCCGCAGTGATCCATTTACATCTCATTACGTACTCTCGTTTTTCGAAGAAAATGCAAACGGATACAGCCTCTGATCCCAATCCTGATGCGAAGAGTTTTTTATGTGTGGTCCTCGTACACACTCTCTATGCAATGCTGCTCTTTGTTTGAATAGCGGACTCATAAAAATTTAGTGTCACAGCAACGAGAGATGGAGCGATGATTCAAATAGACATTGGGATAGAATGTTCTTGCCCACAAGACCATTATTTCAGCGTTGCGACGCTGAATGCCGCTGCTCAGCGCCTACTGCGTGATGAGCACAACGCCGACGCTTTGGAGAAGATGAGCCTGATGAATAGGGAATGGAAGGAACTCAACCTTTTGCTGCAATCGTTAATGGTGCAAATGGAGCGAGTAAGATACATTCAAGATACATTCTTATCGGCGAGGTACAATATTATGTGGCAACAATTTTTTAGGCAAAAACAGAAGCAGAAAAAATGGGACGAGAAGCAGAGCAATGGATGGTGTGGCTAGAAGATATGGAGTCTCAGTTGGCGACCACAAAACCTACAGGAGGGCTACCGGAGACTGCAGAGACCCAACTCGATGATTTCAAGGTGCTTCGCTCAGAGGTGAGTAGGCATTGAACCTCCACTTAAGAAATCTATGGATTACTGGTGCTGAGATGGAATTTCTTCGGCATCTTTTTCTAAATAAATGAGAACTGAATATCAATCTCTAGATATGAGGATGAATTCAAATTAAAATTCGAGTCTTCTAATCCTTTTGCACACGCGAGTTTATATCCTTGTTCTTTTGATCATTGCCGAGAATGAAACTCTATGCTCTTCTACGCATAGGTATACGTACCCACTCTAAGCAGCAATTTCTAAAAAGCGCGTTTAGTCGACTCATCTATTCATACGACTTGACGCGTGAGTCAAAGAACTATCGGTTCAAACAAGCTGGGCGTACTAGCTCTTCTACACTAAGTCTACTGTAGTGAGCTCTCCACGCTCTTGCTTTCCATGTCCAGTTGCTAAAGCTAAGTTGCTCTTCTCATATCTTGTAGCAGTAAGCGGTAGCTTACTGCGGCTTTTGACCGTTCAGTTCAGCAGACCAGCATTGTGGAAGTTGACTAGTGGTCTGTAAAAAAATTGTCATCATTGAAGTGAGATGTCGAAGCTATCTCTGCCATCATGTCGTATTCTCACAATTCCTTATTAAGCATAGCCGAGGTCATATTTCCCGATAAAAGCGCATATAAAGGCTTTCTATCTCAGAATCGTCTCGGTTTCAGATAGCTCAAAACAAAGCTGCGCTTGAAGCATACATCGAAGACGCCAACAATAACCTTGCCGACCACGAAAACAACGGTCAAACTTGGATAGGAAGGAATCATGCTATGATCCGAAACAAATGGGCCAAAGTAAAAGTGAGTTGACATGGCTTAATGGCGAGGCTGGAGGAGTAATTCTGCGTAAAAATTTTGAGTGATTTTGCGATCAGTCTCAAAACGAATAGTATCCTGTTTCACAGAAAACGTTTTTACTTCCTTGAAGTTTACAGTTATCGGTTTTCATAAAAATTATCTTTAATTCTTTGGACTGGGCACTCGGATTCCTCGGGTGTAGGTGAATCGGATTTGTCTGGAGATCTGCACAAGAGAATATCTTCCGATTAGACCTTTGGCCCGAAAATCTGTCAGCGCTTCTCTGACCGATGATTTGAGCATCTCAAGTTGAGATCCTTTTAGTTTCTTCAAGTTCTCAACTTCCCGGTCTTCAAAACTTTTTATCTCAAAATTGCGTCCGGTAAGTTGTACCATACTCTGAAGCTGCTGTGTCTCTCATATGCGAAGATAAATAATGAATGAGCAAGTTTTTTTCTTACATGTCAAAATTGTTGCTTGCACAGGAGCTCTGCGCTGATCGCGAGAAGAAGTTACAACTAGCGCTGGAGGAAGCCGTAGCTCTGGACGCATCTATGCGCAGCACTGCCGAATGGTTGACCGAAGCAGAGCAGCGCCTGGCGGCAATGGTATGATTCCAAACTCTCAACTGATGCAAATGACGTATTTCGTTCAGGATCCGGTCAGCCGTTTGATAGACGTATTGCAAGCGCAAGTTGCGGAAAATGATAACTGGGTTGACGAAGTTGTTGTAAGGCAAGATTGCTCTTTCCATGATTTCTTCATATTTCTTTCGTATTCACTGAAAGCATTTCTCCTGTTTACAGAAAACAGCTGATGGCGGAACAACAAGCTGCTGGTACACGCCTACAGTACTACTGTGAGAAGAAGGATGCCATTCCCATAAAGAACGGTCTCGTTTCTTTGAAGCATCGCTTTGAGAAAGTATCCAGTAGAACTGCTGAGCGCACTAAGGTATAATTTTTATTATCCGACTGGTAAAAATCGCAAAAATCGCACTTATTTTTTCAGCAATTAAATACAGCATTGGATGAAGCTCGGACCTGGGAAAAAGGTACCGCCAGTATCCTCGGATTTTTGGATGAAGTGGAAGAAAGATTACCGGGTCCTCAGCCGATCACAAGTAATGTTGACAAACTGAAGAACTCGCTGGAGAAAATCAAGGTTTGTTTCTCGTAGGCATGTTGGAGAATAAAAAAGTTCCTTTTGAGGCTGTGCAAGCAGATTTATCCAGCCGACAAGCCGATTTCGATACTACTTACAAGCGTGGAAAAAGTCTGATAGACCGAGCTCCGCGTTCTGAAGTGAAGAAAATACAGGAAATGTTAGTGAATGGATAGCATTATTGTAATTCAACAATACAGTGTTATAAAAATAAACTTGATAATATTTTCCAGAAACGAAAACCTTAGAAAGCGCTGGAATGCTATGCTCGAAACAACTAGCCAGAGACGTCAAGCCGCTGAGCAGGTATGTATCCATCTTGTTTATGTGATGTGCTGGGAAACTGCCAGCTATATAGTCTTCCCGTCATATCCTATGAGCAATCTTTGACTACATGTTCAGGTCCTTCTCGACAGCAGCGCCTTTGATGAAGCCATCTTGGAGCTGGAAGCATGGGTGGATGTTGAACTAGCGAAGAATGCAGCTAGTGATAAACGAGTTCTTGGCGATGTGGACACTGTGAAATCCCTTATGGATGAGCACAAGAAGCGAGAAAATGAGAGGAGTGCCAAAAAGAGGGCATGGGATACCATTATGAACAAGGTACTACCATTCCATAGATTCATCGGTACTTCTTGATCCATACGTATGTTTACAGGCGGCAAAGCTATCAGGCAATGATAACGATGAAAATAGCCCCATCAAAAGTATATGCGACAGAGTGAGTGAGAAATGGAAACGTTTGGAAGAAGAGGCCCATGCTCGATCTGAAGCCCTCGATGATGCAACAAAACGAGCCACTGATTTTGATAAGAAGGTTCACAGTCTTCTCGATTGGCTTGTGGAGACGGAAGGGAAACTCAACGTAAGTCTCACTTGTGCACGACATAATCAGCTTCTTTCATATGAACTTGGTTGCAGACAACTGGCGGCGACATTGCACTAGCATTGTCTCGCGTAGAGGACGTAAAGGTTTGCTTAATAAAATTTAAATGAAAACAAAGTATACTTCGCGCTTCTAGACTGAGCTTCATAACAATCGCGACAAGAGAGACTCGTGTCTTGATGCTGGTCGTGAAATTCAGTCGAAATGCAATGCTAGAGCTGAGCAGCCAATGAAACACTGGCTACGTGTTGTAGAGAACAGATGGAAGGTGGGTTGTAAATAGTAGTGGGAGACAAAAGGACTTGATGCAATGAATATTTGCAGGAAGTCGAGGAGAAAACTTCTGAACGCGAATTCAGTCTTCTTGAGCAGCAACATCAGGATAAAGAACGAGAGGAAGCTCTTTTTGAGCTGCTCGAATTTGTGGCACAAAAGAGGGAGGAACTGAACAAGATGCTTGGCAAGCCACTTCCTCAGGATCTGGACGCGGTGAGTTTACAGACTCGGATTCGTCCAGCAATATAATTCATTGCAGATGGGCACAGCTCAAACGGAGCAGGAGAAGTTCGATAACGAATTGCGTGAAAAACAGCCACAAGTTGATGCTGCCATCAAGCATAATAAAAAGGGCAAAAGGTAGAGATTACTTCGATTTTCTATACTAAAAAATTGCCTCAAATATATTGCAGAAATGCTGCTGCGACCAAACTTTCTGATGAATGGAAACAACTGTGGTTGGATTCCATCGGCCACCATACTGCTTTGGAAAATCAGCGCCAGCTGCTTGAGGAGATGCGACGATTAGAAGGATGGCGATGGGAGAATTGGAAAGAGCAGTACGTTGAATGGAATGACAATAGGAAGGTAAGATCCCCGAATATTCAGTGTTAGTGGATCACAGTAAATGGCTACTTTTTAGGCTCGTGTATCAGATCTCTTCCGAAGGATTGATCGAAGTCATACCGGCAGTGTACCAAGAGACGTCTTTATAGATGGCATACTAGCCAGCAGTGAGTCGAAGTTATACATATCTCTGCAAAACATGCTTAAAGAAATCCTCTCGGAATTTAGCAAAATTTGAATTTTTACAACGTTATCGAGTGTAATCGTTACATGGGAGGGCGGAGGTTCCGTAAAATTGATGAAGTTGTTGTTTGAAAGCATGGTGTAGTATAAAGGAAAGCTTGAGTGATCGAGATGATTAGTGCATCCTTGCTTACTGATACAAAAAGCATTTGAATGGATCACAAGTGTTAGAGCATTATATTTTTTGGTCTGTTGAACTCTAAACAAGCGCAGTTTTTCACAAGCATTGTTGCTGAGTATTATGAAAGGTTTGCAGAGATCAAAACATTTGCGAGGTCTTTTGTCGAACAGTATTTCATTTAGAATTCCCAACATCTCGTTTGGAGATGAACAAAGTCGCTGATCTCTTTGATAAGGGTGATGGATTGATCAATTCGAAGGAATTCATTGATGCTCTTCGATTCGATAGATCGGTAGGTCTAGTATAAAATCTCAGCGCATGATTTCAGCTTACCACTTACCTAAAGCATAGGTGCGATTTTTCTTTCTAAATCCTGATATATCCTTTATCTGTTGGAGTAACTCTGGAATCAATGTGATTTGTTCTCCAGAGAGAGCTCAAGCCACCAAATGAACACGAAAAAGTGAATGAGGAGATAACCAAGCAGAAGAACGCTTGCAGCTGCTGCCAACAATTCAAAATTGAGAAAGTCGCTGAAGGACATTATCGTGTACGTATCTTAATGCATAAGTTTCCTCATATCTCGTTCATCTGCATTTGCTTCATTACAGTTCGGGGATACCCAAATCAAACGTATGGTACGAATTTTACGGTCAACTGTTATGGTTCGTGTCGGTGGTGGCTGGGAGGCTTTGGACGAGTTCCTTTCAAAACATGATCCTTGCAGAGCAAAGGGTATGGCACAGTGCGAATAAAGCTCGGATATTCGTAATACATTTTTAGGCCGGCTCAATATTGATATGTTCTACAAAGACGTAGCTCCCAGTACTGCTATTGACACTATGCGTGCTTTCACAAAAGGTCGTCGAAGAACTACAAGCAATAATGTATGTGTATGTGATGGTTACCTTCCGCCCTTTTTCCTGTTGAAATCTTTCATTCTTTGAATGTTTTTTTTTTGAAAAAAAAATAACAATGCTGCATAAGTTCATGACCTCAGTTTCTCTGCAGAAAGTTAAGGAAAAACCGTAGTGTTGCTGGTTGGAACATTTCTATTTACTTCTCATGCCATTTTGATTCTAGGCGACGGCTGGACCAGTGATGAAAGTTCGGGAAAAGACCGAAAGAAGCATGCCAATGTTTCCGCTTCGAAAGGATCATGAAAGCACTATCGGTATCGTAACCTCTATTACTTCTCTTCAAGATTACTAACCATAAATACAATGTTAATTTTTTAGAAGGATCAGTGACGCGCACTCTCTTGTCAAACAGTCGTGATTCCATAGCTACCCCATCCTCCAGACCACATTCTCGTGCATCAGAATACACAGGAGATGAGAGACCTACTCGCATTCCGTCTTTGCGGAATCAAAAGAACTCAACAGTCAACTCGAAGCCTTGAATCTTGTCTATCAATGAAATCATCCAGTATTATCATTGTTAACTTGTTATTCGTATTTATCTTTATTTCATCGTTTTTTTTTCAGTTTTTGTCATTTGTGCATGCGTTGTTTATGTACCGGTTCATTGATCAATGTTGCTCCACGTGCTTTTATTGACGAAGTGTCTTACTTAGTACTTTGCTTATATTGTGCTTCCGTTGAGCGGAGCACTTTGATAGCTTTCTAATATTTATTGATTCCTAAGTAAAAACATTTTTTTGATTTTTTGTGGTCGCGTATTATGTTGATAAGAAGTCCTTAGCTTACTCCAACAATCGCTACCCATAGGTGCCAATCCATGGAGGAATAAGCACTATCGTCTCGCAAATTGTTCAGGATTGCTCCGATTTCAGAATTATAAGGAAGCACCATACCTTTTGTTGTGTTTTCAGCAAAAGTGTGACGGCAGATATTATCTGTGGTAAGCGATTCATGCGCTCATTACTTCCAAAATTAACGGTGCTTCACTTGATAAAACGAGAGGTTTCGAGCGCAGATCGGAAATTTCTTATTTTCAATAATAATTAAATCAGTTAATAATCAAAGGCATTATCTCTTGCTTTAGTCTGACTAGGATTAGACTCGGATTGACTTGATGATATCTGCATTGGTTTACCTTTCTTGTTCATTCCGCTGATTACTAACTTCTTGATGTGTTTTTTTTTGTTATGGAACGCCTTGAGCGTACAAATGAAAATGAAAATGAAAAATGAAAATAAGAATATTCCAATTATACATCGTCCCAACAACTCGCATTCTTCATTCAAAATTTAGATATGTTATCAAAGGATGGTGTGTTCAAAAAGGCGACAAGGAACCTTCGTTGGAGGTACATTCTATAGCGAACTTTATCATTTCGCATGCTAGAGACTGCTGGAAGAGTTACAATTTCATCTGACCTCAGTTTAAAACGCTAGTGGACTGATATGATATTCGGGTGAGCGAGCTCCATAACTACCCCTGGCTGAGCTTTAAACTGTTGATTCTACATTTTTGTGTTTTGCAGAAAAGTTTGTGTTCAAAAAAGAAAGTCTCGAAAAGACTAGGCTGTCCCAAAAGTTTTGTCAGTTTTCTGAGTCAATCACCTAAAATCAGAGAACATGATAGATAAAAGAGTGACTTATCGTACAACTCAGATCTCCATCCTGATTCTGAGAGCTACATTTTCTTTTGATTTGCACCTCTTGTCATGTTATCGCTATGGTTCTTCAAGCAATTCAGCACTGATGCCAAATTTTCCCATTCAAAAAAATCATATCCTAATAATCCAAAAGGCACTGTTAGCACTCACGTAAAGTAAGCCTTTGCCTATATTACATATCTATTCTCTAGATGATAGAAGTCAAGTTTTTGAAGCCTGTAATTAAGTATTTGTAGGAAAAACTGCGGCTTTTTGAGCACTTTATGGTATAGGAAAATTCAGAAAGCTGATTTCGAAGCAAATCCAACTCAATTATTGTGCCCATAAAATGTTCAAGAACGAGGGCGAGTGGCCTAGTAGTATGAGGCGCCGCTGTGACCATATCGGACCGAGGTTTGATACCGCCAATGGGGTTCTAGCCCTCTAACCTCCGAAGCCGGTAATTTAGTGCGAGAATAATTTGGAAGGATAAAAGCACTGACTTGGTAATCAGCTGACCGCCGCAAGTTGCTCCAATAGACCCGCAGCATGCGTTTGGCGCATGCCTGCAGAGAGTATTGAAGATGTAAACCTTTATCCTTGTTCATTGATGAACAGTCAAGCTTCAAGTCGAAAAAACTCCGGAAGCTTTCTTGTTTTCATTGCCTCTGTGACATGCTTCAAATGCTTTTTACTCAAAGCCTTTTTTTGTACTTTGGGGGCTTGCACTCGTCCCCTGCCCCACCTCTCTGTCCCTCACCTTTCACTCCACCTCCTCTCCATACCGTTAGCGACCAGGGTCCGGCACGAGGTGGGCAAATGACAAGTCGGAAATCGTTTTTGGTGGAAAAAGCAAGGGGGGGAATCGTTTTTGCGGGGTCCGGGGCTGAGCCCCGGAGAAGATTATAAGCACAAGCAAAAGAAGGTCGAATCATGCTTATTACCTTGTACATCTAATTCATTGGGAAGTAGTTTTCATAAGCCTCAACGCACAGCAAAGTTCGCGCGCTACTCCGCGCCGCCGCTAATTGCAGCGAGCGCGACGTCGCATAGCGATGCCATTGAACAGCATGATTACATGATCAGTTCTCAATGCAGGCGTAACGATATAGCACCAAATTACATAAGCGAACGAAGAGAGGCTAGTGGAAACAAAGTATGAAATATTATGAAAAACTTATGTGAATGGGAGGTGTAATAAGCATTTTTTCCAGAAATTTTGCAAAACTGTTGAATGAAGATGTAAATTCAAATAGCTCGTTTACAGCGCACAGATGACCATAGGGTGTGAAACTTGATAGGTACATGAAGGCGGTCCTGCAGGGCTTACCTTAGAAGTGTCATTGGAAAATTACGTGAGTGAAGTTTGTGGCAAGCTTTTTTCTGAAAATTTCCCACTATCAAAAAAAATGGGAAAATGGCTCGTTTGTAGCGCAGAAACGAAATCGCGTTAGACTTGGTGTGCATACGCGCAGTAGGACTAAGGAACAGTGTATTAAAATTTATGAAAAACTTGTGTGAATGAAGAGCGTGCCCAACTATTTTTCAACTTAGGTGAGCAATTGCCCACCTGATGCCCACCTGAGGTAGGCAAAACTTTCAATTCACATAAGTTTTTCAAAATTATCACACAAATCTGTTGTACACCTAAAGTTCACTACATGTGAGATTTTGGTTCCGAAACTCCTCCTCTTGCCTTTGTCACAGCCCAAAATCACATCAGCAGCCTAGCTTTCTAAGATGGAAAGCGCGCCCCAGTCGATCGATACGCGCGTAGGAACGGCGTCTCTAAGTCCTATGACTGCGTTGCTTTGATATTTCTTTACTCCTTCATCATTTTTCTTGCTTATTTTTCTCCTGTTTTCTATCTTGATACAGGTGAGGAGTGATTAGAGGAATTTGAGCATTTTGGGCGCTTTTAGCGCTTTTAGGCGAAGTTTGGCCGGTGCTCTCGTTGCACAAGCACAAAGCATCGTTTTTGGGCTCAATGCGGTATTCGTAAAAAATATTGGAATCAAGAATTCGTTTTGGAAAATCCCGTTTGCACACCTCGTGCCGGCCGTGTTAGCGACATTGCCTCCTAGAAAGCTAGTTGGTAGAAAGCAGCAGCCAACAGAAACAGGGACATGCAAGAGTCGGAAAAAGAAAAACAAATGGGAACAGGGCCCGGCACAGATCGTCTAGAAGCAGGCTGGACTTCGTTTTTGGAGTAAAAAGCAAAGGGGATATCGTTTTTGCGGGGTCCGGGGCGGAGCCCCGGAAAAATTTTTCTGCACATGTTCACTGGAGAGATATTGTGGTGCAAATCTGCTCGGATACTGTAAAGCTTGAGAAGGGTAGAAACTGATTAGCAAGTCGCTCACTGCTGCCATATAGGCTTTCTATGATAGTTAGGAATGGTAATGTTAGCTTCGGCTCTGCCTGGACCAAAAGACCACACCTGGAAATTTTCAAAATCTTTTTCAAGATTTTTAGGTTTTTTATCAGTGACCCTCTCAACAAGTTCAGCGATTTTTTCTGTGCTCTTTCTTTACCACCAAAATCCTCGATAAGAGGGCAGACTCTCTTCGCAAACAGCCAGCAGCTTTGCGCTGGAAAAGGTATGAGTGAGCAGTACACAAAGATACGATACTGGAACGTCTCACTTAAATTCTGTCAAAGTCGTATCATCTACATGCCCTCCTCTTATAGACTTCTCATGTGGTAGCGGAGCAGCCTTCAAAGGAACATAGAAAGAGTCGCTCCTGAGATGGCATTCCTAAACAAGAATTTGAGAGAAACATGATTATGGTGCATAAGTGATCGAGAGATCAACTCAAATTTTTAGGAAAATTTGTAGGTTTTACGGTAATTTGCTCCTGGATCTGGATGCTTGTCATTTGAGAATCTGACACAGCCGTTTCTAAGAATGGTACAATTGGCTTTGGAACCTAAACAGACTCGAACACACATTACACAAGGAAAACTCGACGAAAAACGTGAGTAGTGACGAAAGCATCAAAAAGTGCATGCAACAAGCAGGAGCAATGAAAATGACCAAGAAATTACCTCTAGTCACTAAACCCATGGTCTTCCAGATCTCTAAGGCACTTCTGTAGATGTACTTCCAAGCAGTGATCATCGCTAACTCTCTACTATCCAACTCCAACACCTAAAAGTCCTCATTTGAAAGCATTAAGGAGTACTCCAAGAGGAAATCTACCCTAAGGCTGGGATCCAGGATAGACCATAGTCTCAAGTCTTCAAATTGCAATTTGCAAATTTGTTTCAGACAGACAGACAGACACAACACAAAAAACGTGAGGACCCTTAGCCAGCTATTATGAGTTAGGGTATGATAATTCCTTCACTTTCTCCTCTATGTCAAAGATAAACGACCATCCAGACGAACACAAGGTTTTCGGACAGGTTATCACACGATTGACATGCTCTATCATGTATGGCGGAAAGTGCGCGCGATTTGAAAGCAAGGCTAAAATAAACAAATCGCTTGTTTACAGCGGACACAGAATCATATGACACGAAAATTGAACTGTATCTATAGAAAATTATTTTCGGAAGAATTATGTAAAAAGATTTGAAAACTTATGTGAAGTAATACCTTTTCCAAATTTAGATCGTCTCCAGACGGCCACCAGACGATCTGAGATCGTCTGGAGCATATATTTTCGTCGCTTCACATAAGTTTTGGATCTTTTTAGCATGGACGGATGCCCCGGTCAAAAATCTATCCCTCTGCATAGAAACATTTTCATATCACCCCCTGTCCGTCGTTTTTTATCATTTTTTCCCAAAATCGCCATGTTAGATATCGCGCTTCACCGCCGTTTCCCGCGCTATTGCCACATTCCAGCTCTGAGCAAAATTTTGATCGCTTGGTCGCTTTGCCACAAACATTGAGTGTTTCCTTCGTCCCTTCTTGTCGTTCTCTGTTCTTGTTCTTCCTGCTAGTACAAGCTTCTTGTTTTTTAAATCTATAACGCTTTGATGCCTTCGTAAATATTCTCAATTAGTTTTAATTCAGACAGTTTCATGTTCGACAAGTGGTCATGTTTTTAGGAAGGGATGCTCGGGAAGGCTATTGCTCAAGATGTCGTCGAAAGAAGAGGAATTTGCTTGTTTCTCTGAGGGAAACGCATGAGAGTAAAAAACCCATGGCGAAAGAAATACAGTCGCAGAATGTCATCGATGCAAAAACAGCTGTTGTACAGACTCGGAGGAATAGCCCGTTGGTTACATTTTGTTATGTTTATAGTTCTGTTGGATTCCTTTATTTAGCACATTTTTATTATATATCCTGGTTATTTTGTAACGCGTTGGCTAGGAGTGCTTGTTGAAGTGCAGAATAAGGCTAACAAAATAGATTAAAAGGGTAATTGTGGTAGAGCGGTCCTCTTTGACCTCATTATATGCACCAAAAGAACAGTTGACCGACTTGCCTTTTGACTATGTGTATTTTTGGCTTGTTCCAACTAGATTACGTCCATAGTTGCCCGCAATATGTATGGTGTGAATCTTCCTACTCAAAGATCGTACACCTTTTTCAACTTGTACCTTATTCCTTGACCTATACTGTAGACAGCGATGTAATTTCGGCGGGTATGATACAATAATGCAGCTGTTAAGGTATTTGCACAAAATTTTTAAGAAGTTTGGCGGGGATCTGTGATGTTTGCTAAAATTCTAGCATGTATAGCATCTTTATCGAAACGCACAACAACTTGCTAAATACTAATCTCTATCACGTTTAGAAGGAAAGCTGTGCAAAATGTCTCGAATCACAAGATCACGGACTTCTTCCCTGTTCTCCGAATTTCCCGAAAAACAGCCAACAGTTGGAGGTTGGCGAAGGATAATTTGCTCATCAGTTATTAAAAATCATCAACATCATGGTTTGCTCAGGTAAAACATTTAGGAAAAAGAGAAGTATGCTTTGCGCGATGCCACACACAATTTGACCAATGAGCCGCTGCTTGAAGTCTGTATAAAGAAAAGAAAGGACGTGGCATTCGAGCTGCCAAATCATTTGTGAAAAATGAATTTGTTATTGAGTACAAAGGTTTGTAATTTTAGCTTCAATTCGCTGCATGTATTGTCGTCTACGAGACCTACTCTTTAGTCGAGCTTTTGCAGGAGATATGATGGACTACAACTCAGCGAAGCTTCGCGAAGAAGAATATGCAAAAGATCCAAACATTGGTTCTTACATGTACTTCTTCAGATACAAAAGTAAAACATGATATGGTGGACGCAACGAAAGAGTCAATTTGTAGAGTCAACTCATCAACCACAGTGTCCTCCGTCCTAATTTGCCCACGAAAGTGAGTTTGACCACAGTTGTTTTACATTTATTATTTTTCTTGTTTTGCGATGATTATTGGTGCTGTCGTAAGCCAAGAACAGGCTAGAGTAATCTCGCTATTCTTATATGTTTCTGACACATTTTGCTCACACTATTCATATATCCCTACCAGCTTGTTTTCCCTACATGCTGAATTGTCGCTTTTGGAACTTATAAGGGAAGATACTTAGCTTAGTTCGATCTTTTGAAAAGATTTATCACGGCATTATCAGCTGAGTGCTAATACTATTGCGTTAATTATTTTTCAGTGAAAATTGAATTTGATGTTATTTTGATATCTCAGAAACTTTTTCGTGCAGATTTTTACCTACGTGCAGTCTTTCCATTTCAGTAGTATGCCAATTCCGCGCATTAAAAAGCCCATAACTCGCTTCGGAATGTGCACCGCATAGGAATAGCATATTTGGAATCAGCGTTCAAAGCTGATTCGGAATATATATGTCCCTTGCCGGCAGGCCGAGCTAAGTTAGGTAGCTTTCCTTATCAGTGCTGCTCTTGTCATCGAATCAGTTTATCCACCTGGTTTAATTTCTGCAGCTAGAAATACGAAATAACACAGTTTTTTGCTGGCAATTAAATGATTACTCAAGTCTGACAATCGAAACCGATGGTTAGTTGAAAGCTCAAACTACGATATATAATGTCATCAACCGCGAGCGACCATATCAATTTCAGTTCTTATGCTGTGAGATGCCGGGATGCCGCTGGGATTGGCTCACTCTTTTAGTCGAAAAATTCATATTGACGTTTCGCTCACTAAAGTAGGATACTCAAATTGGCAATGTTTGGTATCATGTTCTGTGCTACCGGAGGTGAAATTTCATTTTGAAGTGAGCAGCCGGTAAAAACGTTTTATTTAGATTGGAAGCATGCTTGTTGAAAAGGCAGACCTTGCTCAGCTTGCCAAAAGGGGTCTGATCAAGATCAGAAATTTATTTCATGCCTGGCGCGGTTCTCGTTGCATTTTTGAAGGATCATTCTGCGCTTGCTGAGGTATGTGGTTTTCAAAAGAGTTTCTTTTTCCTTTAGTGGCTCACAAAAACAACTTATAAAACTAACTTAACTTAAAACAACTTTGCTTTATAAAGTTGGACAGAAATCTGCAGACCAGTCCCTTTTACATTCCCTTGTTCTTTTGCTTGTACACCTTCTTGCTTGTACACCTTTTAAGTCTGGCGGAAAACATTATGTGGCTTAGTCACAGTAACACGGATTTCACCAAACCCACGTCTGCCTTTTGTTTTTTGTTTGTTTATACTTTTCCTATCTTGGTCGTGCTTTTATACTTGTATTAATCACGGTGGTTGGCGTGCTTACGATGATGCTGCTTTGGTCACAAGTTTCTTCCATCACAAGTTCATTTTTCGCGCCTTGGTCCAAAGATCCACTATCTTGCAGAACTGTAATCCAGCTTGTCCTCAAGTTACGGAATATCACAAGTACGCCATAGAACTACTTCTTCCAATCGTCAAGTCGAAGACGTGGAAATCTTCAAGGTTAGTCATCTTTTCTCTTTGTCTATCATGTGCGCCATGTCATTTTTATCTTTTTACATAGTCTGATCATAGCGTCGGCGTTTTCCCATACTTATCAGAGGGACCGTGCAAATTTTGGGTGCTTTTGGGGATAGGGCAAATTTTGGCTCTTGTCTCCTATAAAAGTTTGAACCGACTGAGGATGTTAAATTTTGAGTTGTTGTGTGTAGGTTTATGAATATGATGGAACGGCAGTAGCATCTGATAGAATCTCAATGCATGGTTTGAGTATCTTATTTTTCGTTTCAGGTGTGCTTGGATTACTGGTGTGCCTTAACAACCGAGTCGTATCGTCTGAATCCATTCACGCCCCCATCTCCACCTATATTATCATTTTCTTGTCGAGGCCACGTCTGTGCAAAAGAACATCAGAGGAGGAAGCTGTACAAGTAAGTTTTGCAAGGGTACATTTCTGTTAGGTTATCCTTTTTTCAAAAAAAAAAACTGTTTGTTTAAGAGACACCGATCAAATTTGCGTACTATCATGAACACACTGTGTTGGGCGGTCGGTTCCATCTCCGGAAATAATCCCATCTTCAATGATGTTCTTTTCCTTCGGAGCAATATCTTGATTTGGATTGATAAAGTTGTTTGCGTTCAAAATAGTTCATTTATAAAATCGTGACGACGGTTTTTACTGCGGACTTTGCGCCCGCAGAAGCATAAAACGCTCGTTAAAGAGGGCTCAACGTTCAGCTCAGTCACTTCCACTCTAAACGTTATCATACTTGAGCAAAAAACAATTCGACTAGAGAAAACCAAGAAAATACCATTTCCATAAGTGGCGTGCGTGTGCGCGCGGTCGCGTCATCGTCACAATTTTTTAAACACCCTTTACAACATGCTTTTGTTTGCTTCTCGGCTTGACCCGGAAGATTGTTGATCCAATCACAGTTGGAGGGTGGGGGGGGGGGGTAGGGCAAGGGTCAAAGGGGACTTCGTAAAATTTCCGAAACTCAAAAGGGACTTCGTTTTTAAAAAGCCTAGAAACGGATTCGTGCCGGGCCCTGAATGGGAATGAGCATTGGCGAAAATGAAATTCACACCCGCTCTTCTTAAGGGCGCGTTTTGTGAACAGAGCATATTGAACCGCCAAAAAGGGTTTGCGTTGGCGGCCTTGATGAAACGTTTGCGTTTGTAAGAAAACTTTTGAAGGCAGGTACAACGAAAAAAATCATGTGTGCAATTGTTGGGTCTAACTCAGCTGGAGCTGGCACGGTTCTTAGCTGATCGTAAAAGAGACTTTCATTCATCAAGTTTCGTGCATTTCTCGGCCTTAGTTCTATTCTACTCATGCGCAAATCAAATATGATGTCATATTATTGTTTTGACTGTAAAGAAGGCCTGTTTGTTAGAAGCGTAATTTTGAACTCGCTGTGCGACATCGAACTAAAACATGTACGTAACGGCCCTGTCTTCTGATATAATTCTATGAGGATTCGGGAAATCTCCTAACGCAGAAGGGGGGGGGTCTGCCTTGGACCCTACAGAAACGATCTCGCCCTTGCTTTCTTCTTTGCAAACGGCATCCGGCATGAGTCGGTCCAGCTGTGCCAAGCCTTGAAAGAGAAGATAGTCGTAAAGTCCACATAAATCTGGTATTACGCCTCTAATTGTAGGGCAGAATTATGGCAGTAAGCATTAGGACATGTATTAAGTGTCTCACTAAGCCAGCTAACTCAACTTTTTCCCACTTGTTATCTACCTTTTTACGCTCTATCTATAGGTTTTGTATCCTACCTCGTCACTAATACTAGAAAAATACATGTGTCGGTGCATAGTTTATGTAGAATTACGAAGCTCTTTCGAATTATATGTTATGTACACGAAGACTTTGATGTACTTCGATGCGAATTCAAAGCTTGAAAAAATTAGCGGTATCTCTAAGCCGCATAAAGAATTTGTGAAGAACAGCAGCGTATTGTTGCAATAACAGGCGAAGGTCATATTCACGAAAGGCGTAAGCGTTGGTGCTATTTTTGATCAAAAAGAAAAATAATATAGTGCAGTAAATTTGCTGTCTAATTCGGGTGTTTGTCATGTGTTCTAAGTTCTGTTTAGGTCGAATTTATCCTGCTGAAATGGTTAGGATTACGTTATTTCCCAAGTCCTCTCTAAATAAGCACTCCGAGGCTTTGTGCAAGATTTTCCAGTTAAAGGATACAAATTTCGTATTCATCAAACCTCAGCCAGAGTTTCTTTGTTCCGACAACTCAGTCATCGGTCATTAGCAAAGCGACATTTACAACATTCTAATGCTTCCGGTTTTTGATATCTCTCTGCTCATGGTACTGACCGAAAACCCCAATTTTGCTTATGGTTCTTCACTCTATCCTGAAGATCCGATTTGCTTATTTCAAAGTATTCTCTGTATATGCTCTCACAGTATCCCTTTCCACGAGCTTCCTTGGACGATTTGCATGGTCCCTTGTCCTAAACGTTCGGTCTATTTCACAGAGCCTCATGAGAGGCCATAACGAATTAACATACGGACACATTACCTTACGCTCACAACACACACGCTTGTGGCTAGCGGGACTTCAATGAATGCTGTAACTCCGCTAGAAGTGCTCAATCAAAGCAGAATTGCCTTTGTCCCGCAAAAATTGTCGCTTTCACTATGACTTAGTGGAGGGTGCTACCATATAACAGAACATAGAAATTCAAAGCTACCTCATGAAGAATACGGAACGTCCCACAAAGAATTCAAAAAGTGTTGTCGGATCGAAGTTGTTCTGATCTTGGTCAAATCAGTTTGGAGCCGACTCTGAAGTTTTGCGTACGACCTAAAACAACAAACATTTGTTGATCTCATAGCTGAGCTGACTTCTTTCACTTGGGCGAGTGCAACACTATTGCCAACATCCCGCACGCTTCCAGTCTCACCCAGTCAGGGGAGAGGGAGTGAAGGAGATTTGAAAATAAGACGAATATTTTTTCAAGTTTATGCACAATGTGTAGGGATAGTTCCTATAAAATATGGATGGGAATGCCACATGTTAAATCGATTTTCCAGAACAGTAGCAGTCTTACTGATGTACGCTCACTTTGAACGCTTATAACTCAGCAGCTATAAATAATACAGCTTAGGATAGGTCACCAGAGGAAAGAAAAGGGCAAGCTCTTAAATGAAAATGCTATTAGAATTTTGAATTTTCTTCAATGAAGGGATGAAAAATGAGTGTAAAGTGAAGCTATTCTGAAAGGCTGTCGCCACACTCGATTTAGGTTTCGCATGTGACAGACGCGGATACTCACCACTATACTACCGAGGATCCGTCTATCTTCTGTTAAAGGCGCTTTTTCACTTTATCGTAGAGTGCGAGCTGGATTCCCCGTTATTTCTTTCGAACTATTTTACTGGCAATGATTCAGAGTATGAAGAAATAGCGAAACGATAAGAAGTGCTCAAAAACAGGCACAATGAGGGAATCGGTAAGTCCGTTGTGGTCTAGTGGTTAGGATTTACGGCTCTCACCCGTAAGGCCCGGGTTCGATTCCCGGCAACGGAATGAGTTTTGCAAATGCGAGCTTTTTGCGCTACTTCACTAACAATGCTTAATGGGCTGGCCAATGTTTGTGGAGGAAAGGAAAATCATGGAAAAGAACTTTCTATCAGAGCGTTTTTATCTCAGCGCTTGGAAGTGTTCATTGTGTCAGGAGCAAAAGATTCTCCCCGGCCAGGAATTGAACCCGGGTCTCGCATGTGACAGACGCGGATACTCACCACTATACTACCGAGGATCCGTCTATCTTCTGTTAAAGGCGCTTTTTCACTTTATCGTAGAGTGCGAGCTGGATTCCCCGTTATTTCTTTCGAACTATTTTACTGGCAATGATTCAGAGTATGAAGAAATAGCGAAACGATAAGAAGTGCTCAAAAACAGGCACAATGAGGGAATCGGTAAGTCCGTTGTGGTCTAGTGGTTAGGATTTACGGCTCTCACCCGTAAGGCCCGGGTTCGATTCCCGGCAACGGAATGAGTTTTGCAAATGCGAGCTTTTTGCGCTACTTCACTAACAATGCTTAATGGGCTGGCCAATGTTTGTGGAGGAAAGGAAAATCATGGAAAAGAACTTTCTATCAGAGCGTTTTTATCTCAGCGCTTGGAAGTGTTCATTGTGTCAGGAGCAAAAGATTCTCCCCGGCCGGGAATTGAACCCGGGTCTCGCATGTGACAGACGCGGATACTCACCACTATACTACCGAGGATCCGTCTATCTTCTGTTAAAGGCGCTTTTTCACTTTATCGTAGAGTGCGAGCTGGATTCCCCGTTATTTCTTTCGAACTATTTTACTGGCAATGATTCAGAGTATGAAGAAATAGCGAAACGATAAGAAGTGCTCAAAAACAGGCACAATGAGGGAATCGGTAAGTCCGTTGTGGTCTAGTGGTTAGGATTTACGGCTCTCACCCGTAAGGCCCGGGTTCGATTCCCGGCAACGGAATGAGTTTTGCAAATGCGAGCTTTTTGCGCTACTTCACTAACAATGCTTAATGGGCTGGCCAATGTTTGTGGAGGAAAGGAAAATCATGGAAAAGAACTTTCTATCAGAGCGTTTTTATCTCAGCGCTTGGAAGTGTTCATTGTGTCAGGAGCAAAAGATTCTCCCCGGCCGGGAATTGAACCCGGGTCTCGCATGTGACAGACGCGGATACTCACCACTATACTACCGAGGATCCGTCTATCTTCTGTTAAAGGCGCTTTTTCACTTTATCGTAGAGTGCGAGCTGGATTCCCCGTTATTTCTTTCGAACTATTTTACTGGCAATGATTCAGAGTATGAAGAAATAGCGAAACGATAAGAAGTGCTCAAAAACAGGCACAATGAGGGAATCGGTAAGTCCGTTGTGGTCTAGTGGTTAGGATTTACGGCTCTCACCCGTAAGGCCCGGGTTCGATTCCCGGCAACGGAATGAGTTTTGCAAATGCGAGCTTTTTGCGCTACTTCACTAACAATGCTTAATGGGCTGGCCAATGTTTGTGGAGGAAAGGAAAATCATGGAAAAGAACTTTCTATCAGAGCGTTTTTATCTCAGCGCTTGGAAGTGTTCATTGTGTCAGGAGCAAAAGATTCTCCCCGGCCGGGAATTGAACCCGGGTCTCGCATGTGACAGACGCGGATACTCACCACTATACTACCGAGGATCCGTCTATCTTCTGTTAAAGGCGCTTTTTCACTTTATCGTAGAGTGCGAGCTGGATTCCCCGTTATTTCTTTCGAACTATTTTACTGGCAATGATTCAGAGTATGAAGAAATAGCGAAACGATAAGAAGTGCTCAAAAACAGGCACAATGAGGGAATCGGTAAGTCCGTTGTGGTCTAGTGGTTAGGATTTACGGCTCTCACCCGTAAGGCCCGGGTTCGATTCCCGGCAACGGAATGAGTTTTGCAAATGCGAGCTTTTTGCGCTACTTCACTAACAATGCTTAATGGGCTGGCCAATGTTTGTGGAGGAAAGGAAAATCATGGAAAAGAACTTTCTATCAGAGCGTTTTTATCTCAGCGCTTGGAAGTGTTCATTGT